CAAAAACGTTTTGGCGTCGACATGACTAAAAGCCCTACGTATTGACCATAACGTTCTAAAACTTTTGGCGGCTATTGCACGGCAGTGTGCAGTAGTCTTTAAGTCTTGACTAACGATAACTCCTAAGTCATTATATGTCTGGACGACAGGTAGCTCAGTGTTATTCATCGTGTATGTATCTGTGCCTTGATGACCGATATGCATCACAACACACTTGGAAGTATTTATCGGCAACTGCCATGTTTGAGACCATTCAGATAACTTCTTCAGGTCATTTTGAAGTTCTAAGCTATCACTCTTACATCGTATCGTTTTCCATATCTTGACATCGTCAGCATATAGCAAGACCGATGATGATAGGAGACAAGGAAGGTCATTTACATACAAGAGGAATAGCACTGGCCCCAAAACTGTACCCTGGGGCACTCCACTAAGCACAGTTTCCCAGCTAGATAACTTTGAGTTCACCCTTACTCTTTGTTGACGCCCAACTAAGAAGTCTTTTATCCACATCAATAAATTGCCTCCAATCCCGACATTTCTTAACTTATATAACAGCCGGTTGTGCGGAACTTTATCAAAAGCTTTACTGAAATCAATGAAGGCGACGTCTACAGGTAGCTTTTGGTCCTTAAGAGCGCACCAGCTTTCACGAGCCACTAATAAGTTAGTGAGACAAGAAAACCTATTCTGAAGCCGTGCTGCTTCTCCGAGAGGATCCGGTTTTTATCGAGATACTTAAACAGCTCCTTCCGAATAATCTTTTCTAAGATTTTAACAACCACACTAGTTAGGCTAACGGGGCGGTAGTTCTCAGGTTTGTGTTTCGTACCTGTTTTGAAGACAGGACTTACTATGGCGTTTTTCCAATCTTTCGGTAAGCGACCCTGCGTAACGGATAGGTTAAAGCATGTACTTAAAGGGCTTGCAACGAAGTTAGATAATTCCTTCAGTAGCCTAGGATGTAATTCATCGGGCCCCGTGGATTTACCTATGTCAAGCTTATTTAGCAGACCAAAGACATCGAGTTCTTTAATGGTCACGCTATCCAGTGTATGTATGGGGGGATCTGTATACGCTGACGAGAAGGGCGCTTCTATGGTATATACGTTGCTAAAGTAGTTCGAGAACACTTGAGCCTTACCAAAGTCGTCCTCCACTAATGATGAAGCAGTACTGTCTCCCCATAGAGCAGGAATATTTCCTTTTCTCCTTGTCCTTTGGTTTATATAGGAATACAAGCGTTTAGGACATTCTATGGATTCCTTAACAATCTTTTCTTCGTACAATTTTCTAGACTTACGGAGGGTCGAGGCACAAGTGTTCCGAGCCTTTCGATACTGAGATTTTGACTCATCAGTCCCCAGTAACCTAAATCTATCCCACATTTTCCTTTTCTTACGGAGAAGGATACGGACCTCCCTACTGAACCATGGTGGTGAGTTTTTCGGCCCCTTTGGTATAGTCCAAGGGATGTGAGGTGTGGTAACTTTTAAGTATGAATTTCGAAATGCGTCCCAGGCCGTTTCAATGGAGGACTCTGGGTCTATTGTCCAATCTATTAACGATGCTGAGTGCATGATGTCTGGTATGTTTGCTTTCCAGACGTTGGGTCTGGACTGGACTGACGCGTGCTCGTGACAAGGTCATTTTGGAGCGTATCCAATGGCGAGCCTCGAAATCAGTTCGAGGACTCAAATCTAAACCTTACGAAGAACGCCTCCATTCACTAGACCTTTACCCATTAGAGTATAGGCGTCTTAGAGGTGATTTATTAATGGCTTATAGTATTCTTAACACTTCTGGACATCCTCTTAAACACCTACTTAAGCTTAGTTCGAATAATAACCTAAGGGGTAACACCCAGAAACTGGAAACACAACATAGCAAGACGGAATGTAGACAAAACTTCTATTCCTTAAGAGTTGTCAAAATCTGGAATTCGCTGCCAGCCGAGCTAGTCCAAGCGACTTCTCAGGAGTCCTTCAAGAGGCAACTTGACCTATTCTTAAGGACCAAGGACAGCATCACACTATGATTTACCAACTTCTTTTCCTCTTTTATTGTTAACATACCTAGGTTACTGCCTGGAGGATTTGGTGATCCCCTGCTTCTAGACACGGAAGCCTGTTAAGCGAAAGCTTCTTCTATTCCGTCCACAACCATTTGAGCCATTTAAGGACTAAGGATAACATCTTATTATGATTTGCCAATTTCTCTTTTCCAGTATTATCGTTAATATACCTAGGCTCCTGCCTGGAGGTGTCGGTGATCCACTGCTACTGGACACAGAAGCTTCTTCTATTCCATCCACAACCATTTGAACCCTTTGAAGATTGAAGACTTACCAAGGTCAATGCCAACGTATTATTAGGCGGTACCAACAAGTTCTGTGTGAACGTGTCTGTAAGAGTTTGTGTTGTTATCTCGCTTTTTTGACGTTGAGAACAAGTCTTTTCATAGGAAAATAAGCTCTTTTACATTTTGGTTTTAACTAGTAGAATTGGGTTTACTTCCAGATTAAACGAATCTCCAGACATCATGATGTCTACCGTTGCAATGGTAGTCATGTTTGACTCATCGAGAATGGAACTAACCATGTACAATATTCGGTTACCAATTCCCTGGGAAACATCCTTTAGGCAAAAGCTAAGCAGTGTACACGGGATCATAAATGTAATACAAAGGACATCCATCTAACTTCAAGTAAATCTTGCAGGTCTCAATAGTATCAATGTTTGATAAAAAAGGCTGACAAAATATTATAAAAAGGGACAAAGAACTTGACGGGTTATGTCCTAATACTGAGGGACTAGTGGTAAATTAACTTTTGTAAGTTGGCCAAGGCCACAAATAGTTGTTCACAAAATTGATTACTAGCAGGGGTCTTCCGTCACTTTTGTTCCTTCACATCTTTGTCTTTGTTTTCGGGTATTATTTCAACCAGTTTTTTTGTGATTGGAAGTGTAATAATAATAATAATAGTAATAATAATAATAGGGGAGATGGAAAGGTACAACCAGAAAGAATTCTTTCAGTTAAGTAAGATACAACCACTTTTTACGAAGAAAGTAAAAGAAGGTTACAGCAGGATCGCCATTAGTTTCTATTCTGAGCCATATCTGATAACGTCTCTAGCCAGTGTCGCAACATCACTCGGACCCCAGCCAGGGAGTCGTGAAGGATCAACACAAGCCAGCTTTCTTTCATCCAACGACACCATGTCATATACTGGCCACCTCTCCGCTTTTTCCAATCAGTCCCAGAGTCGGCAAATAATGCAGTGGCCAACGAAGTGACTGCCATCAACGGATTGATGTTAGCAAGTTGGTTGCAATTTCTTTTGCAACTAAGTATCGAACCGAGTTAGGTTCCAGGCTAGCTACCATTCCATCGAAAAGTATAGATGAGCATTAGTTGCAGCTTCATGACGCCATGAAAATGGTGAGTGAAGCCGCTTGTGGCTTCGCGAAACGTCCCGCTTATAAGCACTGCGTTTCTTCAGGCTCCTTACAACTCATCGAAGCCCGTCGGTCTACTCCGGGTAACCGTGAGTTTGACCACAAACGAATGCTGTTACGTAATGAAATCGGGCAAAGCTTGCGTAAGGACCAAGAAGCCTGGTGGTCGGAGCGTGCTAATGAGCTGGGAGCAGCAGCTGCATCTGGTAATTACCGGAAGCTCTTCCAACTCATCCGAGCCACTGGCAGCAAGAAGTCTGGTATGAGCGAAACAATCTGCGAGGATGATGGGATGCCAATCACTAACATCCATCGACGTCTTGGTGCAACACAGTGGCTAGAAGCGCTATCAGATATGGCTCAGAATAGAAGCTAGTGGCGATCCTGCTGTAACCTTCTTATACTTTCTTCATAAAAAGTGACCGTAACTGCTTTAACTGAAAGAATTCTTTCTGGTTGTACCTTTCCATCTCCCCCATTATTATTATTATTACACTACCTTACAGTAATCTGTTCGTTATTGTTCTTGTTTTACACTCCTTACCTTCCTTTTTTCTTCCATTTCTCCTTGTTTTGTATGGCGCATATATATTTGGTGCCCTCTTGTACCAATATTTATGTGTTCAAATAAATAAATAAAAAATTATAAAATGCTCTGAATTTTACTAAACCAACTGAAAGTTCAGAATGATATAGATATCAAAAGACAACATGGAATCTGTCCATAAATTCAATGACTGTTGAACTGAGTTTTGTCAGTCACTGCAGGGACTTTGGTTGCTATCCGTGACATAGCCGTACTCTGTGGTTCATTGTCTTAAAAATACATTAAACAATATCATATCGATTGAACCTAAAGTTATTCTCTCTCCTTTGCTTCTCGTCTTGTTATTTTCCACCCACTGTGCTAATACAAGGTATAAAAACATAGGTTGATATACGTTCTTTTCAGCTTCTACTCAATCTCGTTGTTGATCGATCGACCATTAGTATGTTACGGTATCAGCAAACTTTCTTACAGCATTTGATCAGACTTGCTGTAGATTGTGTAGCATATCATCGTGTACCATAACACACCATGTAGGCTGAGTATATCAAAATAAGTATCAACGGGGTAGATGGGTAAGCCCGTATTTATTACTAGTTCTTAAGGTTTCCATTTACCTGGGATATATAAGATATTGAACATCAAACGAAACTTTTAATTCTGTTCCGGACCTATTCACATTAGATGACTACCGTCTGTCCAGTAACTTGCCTTAAATATCTCTCCGTCAAAATCACGCTTACATTGTGTCTTTTAAGAACAGTTTGGTGGATTTTTTCTTATGTCAAATGGTTTCAAGGAAGCTATGTTGATATTTTATGGTTTTGAAAACAGAATTAAAGTATGGATGATATTGTGTGGTAGATATTTCAGGTATTAATTTTTTTCAAACCTTAAGCATTTGTGATGAAATTTGTTTTGTTTAAAAAGCTGCACATTCATGACATATACTTCCTTAGTATTGTTTTTTATTTAGATTTTCTAAACTGACAATGAAAGTCAAAGAGTTGGAGAAGTTTGCTCATTCGGCCTGGTCACCTCTTTCATGCAATCGTACTTATTTGGCAACTGTCACCGCAGAAAATGATCGCGAGGCAACTGACTCAAATATAAATACTAGGTAAGCGTGTTTGTTCAGACAATTGCTTCGAAATTAATCGAATTGAGTATTAATATGAAAATATTCAAACTATCTGTTGATGATAAATACAGGAATGTTAAGTTTTTTGATTGTAGTCTCGTCCTAATTTTTTGATGATAAGGAAATAAGACCGTTGTTGACACCCTTGATCAGTGCGTGGTTTAACCGTAGGAGGTGAATTAGTCGAACAACCTAACCATTTCCCTTATCTTCATTATATTAGCTTCAATAACTTGATTGGTGGGAAAATCTCGGAACAGATACCAAAGGATCATTTCGATTTTACTAAACTAGGCCATTTGTGTCTGGTAGTATGTTTGTCGGTCGGTCGGTCGGTCGGTCAAAGTGATAAAATACTCCTCAGTAGTTATTTTTGTATTACCCTATTAGTATGAAGCATGACCTTTGAAGATACAAGTGAAGGTTACGAGTATTTGGTCATATTCGGCATCCGAGCATTATTCATATATCCTTGATCCATCAGTCAGTCAGCTACAACGTAGGACCAGGCACATATATGCATCGGTCCAAGTTGCCACATCTCATTAGCACAGCAAGATGAACACCGAATTCATAGAAGTAGTTACTTCAATGGTAGTAATATATAAAAGAAAAATTGCGTGTTAGGATATAATACAGGAAGAAGGAATTAGTTTGTAGAAAGAAAGATATGAAGCGATTTTAAACTCATAGTTTAAGGGAAGACAGAGTGTATACACCTACATCATTGTGATCGATTCTCAGCCATGTCACCCACAGTCTCCAATTATTGGTTATGATAGCCTGCATTTACCAACATGGCTCAGACTAGAAGTTACTGACTTTACAGACTGGTGCCATGTCTTGGTTCGGCCATCCCTAACTTTCTTCCAACCATCCCCAACACCGGTTAACATTACGCGTCGTGGTAATCTGTGTTCAGACATACGCAACACGTGGCCCAACCATCTCAGTCGATGAAGATTCACAACCTCATCAACTGATTTACCACCATTCCCTAATACCCTGTGTCTAACCTTACTATCACTTACCCGGTCATCCCAGCAGACGCGGGCAATATTTCTAAGACATCTGTGATCAAATACTAGTAACTTACGAGTATGTTCTACTCTTATTGGCCACGTTTCGCAACCGTAAAGTAGAAAAGAACGAACTGCAGAGCAGTATACTCGTCCCTTAATTGATAGATGGATATCTAGCCTTTTCCATAGGTGACGTCAGCTGACAAAAGCCAAACGAGCTTTTCGAATCCGTGCTGAGATTTCTTCAGACACCAACCCATTAGGGCTGATCAGACTTCCAGGATAAGTGAAGTTGTCGGCGCGTTTGACTACTTCACGACTATCATGTCTGAGCGTTTAGCTTTTTGAAGAAGTTCAGAAAGCTTTCTGTAAAAGTCATCATTCACTTCATCTGGGCTTCAGTCAATGGGATCGTAGGCATAAATAACGGAAACGAAACGACGTATGTTCCTATCCTTCCAAGTTCTTACGGAGCTGTTTAGTTGAACAGCACATAGACGACTGTTAACGGGGATCCACTCTCTTAGTACTTGTTCTGCCCTCGTACTCAGTGCTATGCCTACATCTGCCGGTCCACTAGAATTAGTCATCGAGTCACCAGATACACGGAGGGTGTATCTCGTTGGCTATCCGTTTTGCCGAGGTGAGGTCAAGTGAATGACCACACTAGGATCCTGTATGAGTGTTTTAGAGACAGTATATATCCATGGTACGAGATTCTAAGATTTTAGCCAAGGAGGCCCGTTGGCCGATTTGTCATAGGGTGCGTACGCTGAAGGCTCTAATGTGTAGTTTGGAGCGAGGTTTCAGTAGACCTAGGACAGTGTTTCACATACTAGAATCGTTGGTCATGTTGACATTTAAGGAGGAATTTCGAACGAATTGAGCATTGGGTTGATTGTTATAAATAAAAATAATATATTTGAGGAAGTTTAGAGTTGAAGGTCGACACACACTGAGGTTTACAACAATAAAAATTATCCAGATTGTATTCAGTAAGGAATGCACTGTCTCATGTATTGAGTGATTTAAACAAACCATACATACTTTTAACCAGAAAAAGCGTTTTTTCATGGGATATAAATATTTTTATTTCTACTGTAAAATTACCTGCCACAAAGTTATTATTTTCATGCTGCTTCGGTTTGGGCACCCGGGCAGTATCCCAGCCCTCACACAAATCGAATGGTTTATGTGGCGCATGTCTATTTGGTACCTTCTTCGACCTATGTTTATGTGTTTAAATAAATATAAATAAAATTATCTTCATACATATATTATTACGATAAGTTATTATAAGATATTCGGCAGATGTAATTTCCTAAAGATTCTTACTTATCACTGCATATTCGCTGATTCACACCCTCTATATGACTGAATATTTCTTTATGAATAGCTGCCAAATGCCCTGGTACAGCCGAGAGTGGAGTGGTCCCGCTCTCCCTCTCGAAATGCTCTCACACGGCCACGTGTATACAGCCGCTGTCAGGGAAGTCCTACTCACTGCCTTCTCATGGCGGGGGTGTTGTTTACGAAAATGAGAGGACGAAAAGCGAATGTCCGGCACTTTAACCGGATCCCAAACAAATGGTACACATTGGCTCCAGGATCCTGAAGGGACAGTTGGCATATAAACCAATTGTTGGTCACTGGCTACCATGTGACTGCATCTCCTGATGTTGCCCCTCTGCCTCGTGGATTAGACCTTTAGGTCAGGGATTCGAAGTGTGGTCTCCTACAGAAATCACCTACTTCGGTTTGGTCACCCGGGCAGTATCCCAACCCTCACACAAATCGAATGACAAAGTGTGGCGCATATCTATTTGGTGCCTCCTTGTACCAATGTTTATGTGTTTAAATAAATAAATTCTTTATGATTTCATTATATCTTTTATAATTTAGCATGACTTCTCCAACATTAGATATTTATGAATTCAATGTTAAAGAAAATAATCTGTCTATGCAAATGAATATTAGTTTACAAATTAAACAAAAGTAAGTCAATGTTTTATTCCTTTTAAATGAAAATTTAAAAGAATGTCGTTACATTTACAAGTATGATAAATAGTTAACAAATTCATTGTGATCACCGTTTTTAAAATAAACTAAATTTGACTTGAGCTAGTATGAAAGCTAATAATACTATCTGATTGCATAAACAAAAATAGATGGGGTGGGTTTCGAACCCAGGACTTTGTGGTTGAAATTTAAGCTTCTTAATCACTAAGCTATCAAGTATTAGTCAATCTTTTTATTTAAAGCACTATCGTACTACCATGGATCAGACATTATTCATAAATAAAACTACAATTAAATAGGCTATAGGAAAGTTTCCTTTTTTTCGTGTTGTGATTTGTATTTGGATCAGTTAGTCCATAATTAACTATTTCCCCTTAACAATATGATTTATCCTAAGAATATCCTGGTACAACCGTGTTAGAATCAAGTCTAATTTCTATCTTCACGTGCATTTATATGGATATGTGTTTATAATCCATACCATGAAATCCCTTCCCTTCATGTGACATCTAGATTTCCATAAATTTCCAGAAATACTAAAAATTCCCGGCTGATGCATTGGATCGCTGTAATATATGTACTACTTAAACAACTACTGAACTAGTATACTTAAAACTTTCTTTTATCACATGTTTGTTCTGCACGTCTAACGTTATTATGTATATCAAATTGATCATGCCTGTAAACTGGCGTGAATTCTGTAATTATTATTTTTCAGAATATAAATTATTATTATTATTATTATTATTATTATTATTATTATTATTATTATTATTATTATTATTATTATTATAAAAGTGGAAAGTGAATGCAAACTTCCAGTACTGAAATGAGATAAATAGAAATAGTAAATCATCTCACTTATAAGAGTTAGAAAACTATAGTTTCCTTTTTGTTTTATGTAGCACACGTCTTGGTTCCATGTTTGTTTTTCTATGCTTAGTCATAATTATTATTCCATCTTCTAGTCTTAATGCCATAGTTCATTTTTTTTATCTTGCCGTACATGTGTAAAGTTTAGTAGTAGTCAAGTCAAGTTACCAAGTGATAATCTCGACTTATGCACTGACTGATATATAGTTTATATGACTAGAAAACTTCAGGTAAACAGTATTTTATGGAAAGTAGGTAAACGTGAAATGTTTTGTTATTTGTTATTAAGTGGTTTTTTTTACTAAAAATTGTATTGTTGAGTGATGATTGTCTTTAATTTATTGGATTAATTCATTCTTCTGATACTTCAGTATGAGCCAAACTTGAAGCGTAAGCGCTAATGATATACTACTCGGTTGCTGAAAATAGATTAGGTGGAGCAGAGCTGGAATCTGGTGCTTATTGACTGAATGTCGATCGCCTTAAGCATTAACCCATCACTCTGTGATGATTTTGTGATAGTTAAGTTAGTTGTGCTGTTAAAATATCTATCTTTTCTAGTGATAACATGTTGTCATTTGATGATGAAAGACCAATGCACTTAGTCAGTAAGTTACAGGTTTCAGCCCTACCTTTCTACTTCTGTTTAGACAACCAGGTGGTACTATTGGCTATTGTATTCAGAGTATGACTCAAAGATAAGTATACACATTTGTATCTGATTGATTAGTGAATAAAATAAAAATGCAAAGAATTTTGTCAAATAGTCCAACATCATGTAGCCTAGGTAGCCTTCATTTATAAAGACGTTTTTCTATAATACTCTCAAACTTTCTCCTACGAAATTCTATACAGACTACTAATCAACGAAAGTAGTATTTAGAAGAAAAAAAAACATGATTAATTTATTGTTTCATTTCACTAACTTTTAACATTTATTTCCTTTTAATCAATGGCATTATCTATATTTACTAACTACCACTTTAAAACACAATATTTAGACTCATAGAAATACTTCTAATTATCCATGACTAATAATAATTTAGGTGAAGTAAAATTGTTTAAACCTACTACTGTCTGTTATGTTGTATAGATGTACATGTACATGTTTAATCGAAATAACATATATATTGAACTTGTAAATATTTACTTAAGATACTATTCCTATGTATATAGGTATTCACCATCGGTAATATTACCCTAAACTTATTGATCCGTTCTATTTTATGACAGTTTATATATATATTTTTTTGCGCCCATTTTACCGTATAACCACCATATTGGATAAATGACTATTTATCTTATAGTTTATTGTCTTCAAGAAATTTCTAGGTCTTCCTATTACACATCAGTAAATAAATATCAGGGGCGTCTTTGTGTTTGTGTGTAGAAGAATGACCATCTTTCATATATTTGGTGAGATCATATATATATATATATATATATATATATATATATATATATATATATATATATATATATATATATATATATATATATATATATATATATATATATTAATGTATATTGTAGTTAGTAGTTCACTTGTTTTACATTTTCGTGATTAACATTATTTAGTCAGAACTTAAAACTAATTCTCCATTGATATATTGTTATTCATGGTAAAATAAATAAGGCGGCCAGACCAAAACATGGCACAAATCCATTAGGTCACTGACAAGTAGACTGAACCATATTGGTAGATGTAGACTACCTGATTGGGATCCGCGAGATGATAGTACTCGATGGTTAGAAACCTTGAATGACATGACTCAAAATCGTTTGCAATGGAGCAGGTACATCCACTCTTTATGCTCTCCCTAATTCTGATCCTCTCAATTCTTCCTGTACCTTCTTTTCTCTTTCCGAATTTATTTCACTGGATTATACTCATTGAATAACATCTTCAAACCCTAATCTTACTGATTACTGCTTATACTTCTACTACTTCTACCAATACGGGATTTGAATCGGCAACTGCATCTCTGTGGTAATGTGGTATGGCAACTTGAACTGATGTACATATGTATGAAGTTCTACGTTGTTACTGACTGACTGACTCTGTGATATCCACAGTTCATTGGAAGAAAGCTAATAAACAACACTTTTCTTCCACGGTTTTTGTAAATGTATTTCGATCCGTGTTGCTTGCCTAAATTATTTTTTTTGTCGCTATCAGTAAACCCACCTTCAGAGAATTGTCTTTTGAAGTATTTCGGGCTAGAGTTGAAAAGAAATCTGTAGCATTCAAGTATTGAAGTGAAGCTAGAAGTTATTTCTGTTGGTTCAAGATACATCATTAACATGAAATATCTATCATAACATTTAATTGTGAGGGTTTGAATCTTCTCATTATTGGTATTAGGGAGTACTATTGATCAGTTTATTTGAACGTGTAGGTATCTTGAGTGGATTGCCTGAATACTACAATTCAGTTACATCCATTTCTAATCATAGATCAATATTAGCTAGTAATAGAATAAAAAATTCACGTTTTATCCTATTCGGCGCTTGTCATCCGGATGTACACACATCACACTGATGGTGTTTTAAAATTATCTTATTACCATTTTATCTTGTAAGTTCTTTCTTCCTTTAGTCATCATATCGTCCATGAATAATCTTTTCCATTACCGGTGATACTTTTATTACTCTACAATTATTCCTGATAATTTCATATTTCTAGAAGTTTAAATCGATATGTGGTGTATGCTACTTATATTGACAGATATAAGTAGTATGTAACACCAATCTGAAGTAGAATGTCTGACAGTAGAAGAATGAAAAGATCGAATTGAGGAGAACAAAAATGTAAACACAGTGTAACTGTGTAGTAACAACTGGGAATGATAAAAACAATGAAGTACGTTAGAGACAACTGATAAAAGATATATAAATGAAGTATTTATTATATGGTTTTCATATTTTATGAAGTCACTCTGTAATTTTGCATTAAACTATAAATTGGTTATACCCATCTGAGTTGATCATTCACCACAAATGTATATCTATGAGAGATTTTACATAGCATATATCTGACGAAGTTATTGATGACAACAATTGGTAATGTCATTTAACCTTTCTTCTTCTTATTGTTATTTATTTATTTAACAACAGAGCCACAAGTTTATTATGGACAGCACCTATTAATAATGATCATTTAGACATTGGTTTGCTTATAATTGGTTCAATGTCAGGTAGTTTATATCTATATGATAGTCAAAAACTAATATCTATGAGTCAAAATAGAACATCTTCACAGATTACTACTAATACTATTCATAAACCCTATCATATTAATACCATCGATACTATTATTGAGAATAATGAAAATGATAATTCTATAATGTCATCTTGTCAACAATTATCATCTATTTATATTACTGAAAATAATATGTCAAATTATCTGTATACATCACGTGAAAATATTCATAATAATGTTGTAAGAAGTTTGGATTTCAATCGATTTCAAGTTAGTAAATTTCTTTAGAACATTAATTTTCATCATGTATACATTGAGATCATGAACTGATCTAAGCTGGACTATCATTGAAAACCTGGAATTACTGAACGGCTGTTTCGTCTTGGTTTCGGATTCTTCAGCAGTGCGCATCTACGATGCCCGCATGTGGGATTCGGAATCAGGATTTTCGGTCTTTTACACTATTGAGGAGTTCCATACTAGGACGAAACAGACGTTTATTGCTTCAAGGTTTTCAATGTTGGTCTAACATTGATTGACTCATGATCTCAATTATTTATTTATTTGAATACATAACTATTGGCATAAGGGAGCACCAGATACATATGCGGCACACAAATTTTATTTGATTTTTGTGAGGGCTCTGATACTGCCCGGGTGCCTAAACTGAGGCAGGTGGTTTCCCTAGGGGGGCCATAACCCTGTACTGATGATGTATAAATCTGTTTATTTATTTACTTATGAGAAAGGGTTTTGTGGAGATTTTGGTAATCTCAATAGTTGAATACTGTGTGAGTAGACACAGTTAACCCCTCATAATAATCATTTGCTCACTAGTGACTGACTTCAAGAGGCAGTTCCTGGAGTTCTAGTGAGAAGCCGTTACCAGTGGAGTTCAACCAGGTCTGTTGTTAGATATCAGCTCACTGAGGACAATGCTGTACGATAGCGCAATTCCATGGATTGGTTGAAGTTAGACATTAACACCGTTGGATTCCAGCCGGCTCAGCGGTCTAATGGTTAAGCCCATACTTATTGTAATGATCCGATTGAGCTATATTGGCTGGAGCAATTGTTCCTTTGGGTTCTGCCATGTCAGATAGGTGGGTTGGCGAACAGTAGAATTAAAACAGAAAACTCATGGGCCGAAAAGTAAGTCGTCCTGATGACTGTACTGAGATGTTATAGCGATAAAATAATTCTCTCGGCCAATCAGCATTTGCAGCGATGCAGTCTTTTCATAACGGAACTATTAGATTAGGATTGATTGGCCTGAAAAGTGTCACGTCTAATCCCACCTCACGGATTCCGGTCTCTGGAGGCCTTTTGAAGCATAGAATTATCATACTTCAAACTTCTGACGGAAAGGTCGTATGTGACTGGCCTTCAGCAGTTTTCGCCTAGACTCTGTGGTCACATCCCAAGATCTGTACGGTGGCTAGTAATCCAGTTTCCTTTTCAGGTCTCTCGAGAAGAAATATACCGTCAAGGCTTGAGCAACCGAGAAGTAACAGCCTCCCCCATACCTTTAACAGCACCAGAAATCCTCTTGTTCATAATGAAATTGCTCTTACTATATTTTTGGATTTCACGAATTTTGTAGTTTTAGGATTTATAGTGCATATATAGAATGTCGATCATTGATGGAAGTGCAATGATGTTATGTAATCTGCTGATGGTTGCTCACAAGGTGGAATCAGTGACACAACACCTCAAATCAACAGGTGTTAAAGGCAAGACCACTGGCCAACAGAATTGGGGTTCGTTTCTCTGGCAAAAAAACATGTTTATTTAAAAATTATCGGGCGCTAAAGTGAACATAATTAGATATCATGTACGATTAAAGAATGTGTTGTTTTGTCGATCACTCACCCACTGTTCAAGGTGAATTAAGATCTCGGTTTTAGACGTAATTTTTGCATCCAACATATCGCTTCTTCTAATGGATATATTTCTTATTTATTTATTTATTTGAACACATAAATATTGGTACAAGAGAGCGCCAATATATATGCGCCACACAAAACAATGAGAATCCGAAAAGAAAAAATAGGCAAGGAGCGAAAAAAAAGAGAACAATGACGAAGAGATTGGAGTAAGGTAGTGTGGTAGTAACGACGGAACGAAAAGGTACAATCAGAAGAAATCTTTCAGGTAAAGGAGACACAACCACTTTTTATGAAGAAAGTAAAAGAAGGTTACAGCAGGATCGCCACTGGCTTCTATTCTGAGCCATATCTGATAACGTCTCTAGCCACTGTGTAGCACCATCTCTCGGACCCCAACCAGGGAGTCGTGAAGGACCAACACAAGCCAGTCCTTTGCAGCTTTCTTTCATGCCACGACACCATGTCATGCACTGACCACCTCTCCGCTCTTCCAACCAGTCCCAGAGTCGGCAAATAATGCACGACGTGGAATTCTCTGGGACGACATTCGGAGAACATGTCCAAGCCACCGAAGTCGGTGTTTCAAGATGGTGACACCAATTGAGTTATCATCTCTGTGCCCGAACACACGATGCCGAACCTCTGCATTACTGACATGGTGTTGCCACTGAATGTCAGCAATCCTTCGGAGACAGCGATGATCGAACACAGAGAGTCGTCTAACGTCCTCAACTCGGAGAGGCCAGGTTTCACAAGCATAGAGCAAAACTGCTCTCACCGACGCGTTGTAGATCCGACCTTTTACAGCCAGACTAACATCACGAAGGCGCCAAAGGTGGCCCAGATTGGCATAAGCCGCTCTGGCTTTCACTATTCGTGCATTGATCTCATCACTCACACCCCCACCAGCACTTATGCAGCTACCCAGATACACGAACTTCTCAACTACGTCTATCTGCTCACCGTCCAGGGTGAGTACAGGATTAGAATCCTGCCAGTCTTGTAGAAGTACTTTGCACTTCGAAGGTGCAAAGCACATACCATACCTACGGACACTGATTGCCAACTGATTAAGTGCGGATTGCATGCCTTGGGCATTATCGCACAGTAAGACAATATCGTCCGCATACTCAAGGTCGAGAAGTCTTTCTCCAGGCAACAGATCCACACCACCATTACTTACATTCATCAGAGCTGTTTCCAGAATGTCATCGATGGCAAAGTTGAAGAGGAATGGTGAGATTGGGCAACCCTGCCTAACCCCACTGCTCGAATGGAACAATGGAGAGAGGTGGTTGTATGCCCTCACTCTGCCTGAGGTGTTTTTATACAGGGCTTTCAGGATGTTAATAAACTTCTCAGGCACACCCTTCTTCAATAGACAATCCCAGAGAACAGTCCTGTCCAACGAATCGAAGGCAGCCCTGATGTCAAGAAACACTACGATTGTTGGCCTTTGAAAAGTATGGCGGTGTTCTAACATTTGGCGGAGGGTGAAGATATGATCAATACATCCTCGACCAGAACGAAACCCAGCCTGCTCCTCGCGAGTCAATCTTTCTCGGGTTTTGAACAACCTACGAAGAATGACGGAAGCCAATAGCTTGGACGCAATCGGAAGTAAACTTATCCCCCGATAGTTGTTACAAGAACGACGTGAACCCTTTTTAAAGATAGGGACAACTATCGACTCATTCCATGACGTTGGTACACTCTCTAGTTCCCAAACCTTTGTAAACAACGTCGTCAATTCCTTAGTCAAAAAGTCACCACCATCTTTAAAAAGAGCCGGAGGTAAGTCATCTGGGCCAGGTGATTTGTAACGCTTCAAGAGTTGGAGTTCCTTGCGGACTTCCTCCTCATTTGGTGGATCAGTCGTCACCGGCCATGGAGGGCAGGACAGTCTGACCGATGTTGCCGGAGCAGCAGGCCAGTTGAACTGCCCTTCGAAAAATTCTGCCCATCGTCCAAGACGTCGATGGATGTTAGTGATTGGCATCCCATCATCCTCGCAGATTGTTTCACTCACACCAGACTTCTTGCTGCCAGTGGCTCGGATGAGCTGGAAGAGCTTCCGGTAGTTACCAGATGCAGCTGCTGCTTCCAGCTCATTAGCACGCATCGACCACCAGGCTTCTCGGTCCTTACGCAAGCTTTGCCCAATCTCCTTACGTAACATCCTTCGTTTATGGTCAAACTCACGGTCACCCGGAGTAGACCGACGGGCTTCAATGAGTTGTAAGGAACCAGAAGAAACCCAGTGCTTAAAGCGGGACGTTTCGCAAACCCACAACTGACTGTTCCCGCCATTTTCATGGCGTCATGCAATTGCAACCAATGCTCATCTATACTTTTCGGTGGAGTGGTAGCTAGCCTAGAGGCTAGCTCGGTTCGATACTTACTTGCAACAGAAGTTGCAACCAGCTTGCTAACATCAATCCGTTGATGGCGTTCACTTCGTTGTCCACTGAAAAGTAAGGTAAGATTGGCGCAGACCAAGGCATGGTCAGAGTCCAGATAGGTACTCCAAAAGGAGCGGCAGTCTTTACACAACCACGCCAGCGGTAGCTGATCGCGATGTGATCAATCTGAGTCCAGGCTTGAGATGCAGAGGGAGGACGCCAGGTGGCACATCGGCGATGACTGTGCCGAAAGTTAGTGCTAGCCAGAAACAGGTTGTGGTCTGTGCAAAGTTGCAGTAGACGGTCCCCGTTATCTGACCTGCGACCAACGAGTCCCCATCGGCCACCTAAACGACTCTCTTCTGTGCCTAGACGCCCGACCTGAGCATTCAAGTCTCCGGCTAGTACTACAATATCTGTCGAACGCACTTTCTGGAGAAGAACTGATAACTGGTGGTAAAACTCATCCTTGATTGCATCCGGGCTGCAATCTGTCGGGGCATAGGCGGAGATGACGAAAAGACATCGTTTCTCACGCCGATTTCTTCTCACTTTGATGGAACTTTCTAATCTAACAGCACATAACCGACTGTTAATGGGGATCCAATCGACTAGTGCTGCCTCAGCTCTAGCGCTTAGTGCGACACCAACGCCAGCAAGACCAGACGAAGATGCCACAGGGTCCCCGGATAAGCGCACGTAAAACAAGCTTTTCGAAGCGACAGATGGAGATCGAATTTGTAGTACTTCGCCAGAGTCTTGAATACGGGTCTCGGATAGACAACACACGTCGATATTAAGACTTTCCAAAGACATAGCCAGCCCTATCTGTTGTCCGACCTGCATAAATGTGCGAACGTTGAAGGCAGCCAGTTTGAATGGTGCACGTGGTTTCAGAAAATCTGCTTCAGTCCTCGTATTCGGTGGTAACATACAATTTTCAACCGGACAGTGACTCGAGAACGTTTAGATACAGTCGGATTTCCACCAAAGACGAGCCGCTGTATAAGTATAAAAGAGGGTGAATAATGTGGAAAATAATAATAATAATGATAATAATAACAATAATGACAATAATAGTAGTAATAATAATATTAGTATTAATAATGACAATAATTGTAATGATAATAATCTGAATCAATTGTTTGTTTTTCAAAGCGAGAAAGGTAATTTCCATAGGCATAAAGAGTTCATCAATTTGTGTGTGGGCTGTGATACTGCCCGGGTGCCCAAACCGAAGCAGGTGGTTATCTTAGGGGGCCACTCCCCGAGCCTTTGACCTAAAGGTCTAACCCACAAGGCAGTGGAGCATCGTAAGGAGATGCAGTCCCATGGTAGCCGGTGACCAACGATTGGTTCATACGCCATTCGTTCCCGCAGGATACTGGAGCCCATGTGCACCATTGATTTGGAATCCGGTTAAAGCGCCGGACATTCGCTTTTCGTCCTCTCATTTTCGTAGACAACACCCCCGCCACGAGAAGGCAATGAGTAGGACTTCCCTGGCAGAGGCTGTATACGCGTGGCCGTGTGAGAGTATTTCGAGAGGGAGAGCGGACTCTCCCCACTCTCGGCCGTACCAGGGCAAGTTGAAAGATGCTTGTAGAATATGGTGAGTCGATTGAAATTAGACATGTAACATACTGGATACCGGCTCATTGGACTAAAATTCCATCACTCATCAAGGTCATAATGTTTTTGAGTTTGAACTGCATTGGGTTCGTGGGTTACACATTGTCGAACTGAGGTGTCTCATACTTGGGTAGAACGATTATCCAGTACTTCCAGATTTTCAATTATTGTCTAGTTAGCATTAATCTGTGGTGTAAAGTATTCATTTTCTTTCTATCGTATTTTCCATTCTTCTTTTGTAACAGACAAATCTTTTTGCTTCAGCATCAAACGATGAAGAAATATTTATTTGGGATGTTGGAAAAATGGAACATCCAATGTCCCCTGGTTCAAAAATACAAGTAAGTAGGTTTTATGTGATTAGAAATTGTTAATGATAGAAGTGTGGAATTTAATGCTTCTTTTTTCTTCATAATTACTTTACATATTGAATGAAGTGTTACTTGATAAAACTATGGATGTGTATGCATGTATGTGACGGAGGGAACTGTCGATTCCCATCTTTTATTTTTGACCTAATTGTAAGTGCTTTCAGTCACACTAGGCATTTGAAAATGAAAATTCATCTTTATGAAATAAAAATAACGTTTATTTAAGTGGTTTTTTGAGAGGGAGTAGGTTAACATTCCAAACATGTTTATTAATCTCTCTTCATTTAGGTAACTTTATATGTTATATTATTAGGCACAATTAATCAAGTAATCGAAAGGATAGTCATAAATTAGCTTACATAAATAGTCATTATTATGAACTGTTAACAGGTCACAGCTTAACGTATCATCAAATTGTGTTAGACTCGTTGCGGTTGTAGACTTAGGTCAATCGATTTCTATTCTATTAAGCTCTAAATATATCAGTGACATATAAGATGTTTTTATCTTCTCTGTTAACATATCGGAATTTTTAACGTTTACTTACTAAACGATATTCTATCATTCAGTATTGTAGTGTATAACTAGTAGCTATTAACTTACCGCTGTTTTGATGGAGTTTTGTTCTCTGAGCTGGATGGTTTGGTCGTGGAGCTTTCATCGTTCTTCTTCTTCATGGCGTTTGACGCCATGATATTTCCTCACTTATATCAATACACGTGGACAACTGCGGACACTCATTCGATTGGAAAAATGTGGAAATCTTGGACAGAGGAAATTCTAAAAACACTAGCGAATTTTTAGAAGCCTGGTACTCAGGTCAATCAGCAATCAACAAGCACATTGAAATCGATCCAATTTATCAACCAATCAGGAAAATTATGCACAAATATAGGAATAAAAATCAAACCAATGGTTGACACGACCAAAACAAAGAAGTAAACAATGACAAACTGAAGGTCAATAAGAACCAATCAACATCGAGGTGTACAGAACAAGCTGTGAAATGCATATCGGGAAATTCGAACACTTCCCTTCTATCTGAGTCTTGTGTTGATGATGTCGTTCAGAAGAACGATGAAAGCTCCACGACCAAACCATCCAGCTCAGAGAACAAAACTCGATCAAAAACATCCACCTGAGTTACAAATCTTCTCCACTTACGGCTGTCCAACTAACCCGTTTGAAATTGTAAAACCTAAAGTAACGTGTTCCAGCCAATATTACATGGTCAAAATATGCAACCTTAACAACACATCATGGTAAGAGTTATGACTGGTAAAGTAGTATGTTAGTCCTCAAGGTTATACAATGCGAGGACTATCCGTGGACCAGGTTGACGAAGCTTATCGTGCTCATCAAAGGGGGAAAAATACAGGCGATGGCTAAGAAATGGCCAATCAGCGCTAATTAGAGAAGATTTGGGAATCTTGTCGTGTAAGATTATAAATATACTAACGTTCTTCTTATTGTAGTTCTTCCTTCCATTCTACTTTGTTTATTTAGAATGTAATTACTTTCCTATTCAATCATGTTCTGATTTGGGAACTAGTTGAGTGAAGTGTTCGACGAATACTAAGCAATAAGAGTAGCTGGGTCATCGTAATAAAAGAGTTTATAACAAGCCAAGAAGTGATAATGACTTCATTTAGTCTCAGTATTTATTATTATCCCTTATACTTAATTCGAGAATAAAATCCTTATTTTTTTAAAAAAACTGAAAAAAATAGCCTTTAGAAAATGTAAATCAAGTTGCATGGAATCCGCGTGTTCAACACATATTATGCTCAACTAGCATTGGTCGTTGTGTTATATGGGATTTACGTAAAAGTGGACCAGTTTTACAACTTACTAAAACAATGTGTCAAGTAAGTTCATTATCTTCTTCTTATGATTTCATTCTTGTTGGTTGTATTAGATAATAGTTGTATATGAACTGTAATTTCTCAACACTTAAAAATACAATCTACACCATGTTTTATTCACAAAAAAGAAGCTCAACATTTAAGTGAATTTCTGCTACAAATCAACTTAAACTATTGAATAATATGGTTTACGTAAAGTTTATTTGTGTATTTGTAAGATCGCTGACCCCTACTTGTTTCATCGTACCTAAAGGGAGTGAAACATGATCTTTAAGAATAGAGGATATTCAAAGGTTACTAATATTCAACCATAAGTGTCTTCGAAGCACCATTCGTGCATTTTGGGACCATCAAGTGAAGAAGGCTGAGTTTATGGTTTAGGTATTGAGTAAGGATAGTGAATTAATTGATAAGATATTAAATCTTCTTCAACTGAGGTGATTGGGCATACGTAACACACGCCCCAACCACCACGTACATTGATGAGCGATGTTGTGTGATGTAGGAGTAGTCTAGAAGAAAGCTGATAGCGGCCAAACCAAAGCATAAAGTTACTGATTATTGAATCTGGCCGTGTTAATAGGTGTAGACCACCTGGTTGGTGTCCACGCGATAATCGCAACCAATGATCAGAGACTCTGAATGACATGGCTCAAAAGCGTTTGCAGTGTCGCAGATGCATCCATTCGTTATCTTCCCTCAAATTCTGAGCTTCGGAATTCTTCATAACTTGTGCGTTTTTATTCCATCAATTTATATTTTCCTTGCGAATCATATCTTCGATGGTTTATCTTTCCAATCACCATTCACACTGTTACTACCTCTATTATTCAGGGATTTGGCCTGACAATTTCATCTCTCTATGCTAATGGAGTATGAAAACTTAAACCGATGTGCATACGTACCAGGTTCTACGTTGTGATTGACAGACTGAATTTCATAATATGAACCATAAGATTAAATTTTATCAGATTGATCTGACTTTCGTGTTGATCGCAAAACTCAAAACTCTTGAAATTCGATATTATGTGCGTTTGTGAGCGTAAACCTCTAAAGATTGCCGAATATAAATCGAAACTTTGAAGCTGAGTTACGCATATCCGAACCCCTCATGAAGCATCATTTCTCACGGTTGCAAGTGTACCTTGGTGATGAAAGGTGATTAGGACGGAACTTATGCGTATGACATCCTGTCAACTGCCACCAACTATTAAATATGGAACCTGACTTAATTAAAATCATTTACTAAATAATATTCAGAGCTGCATTGCGAGGTGATTTTTAACTGTAATTTACATAGAACTTCAATGAAATGAGTCAGAAATCTTTTGTTGAATAGTCCATTTTTTTACACTTCAGTCAGTCAGCTACAGCGTAGGACCAGGCAAAAATATGCATCGGTCCAAGTTGCCATAACGCATCAGCACAACAAGATGAACACCGGATTGATAGAAGTAGTTAATTCAGTGGTGGTGATATATAAATGAAAGATTTTATATAAGGATATAGTACAGGAAGAAAGAATTAGTTCGTAGAAAGAAAGATATGAAGTGATTTTAATCTCATAGTTTAAGGGAAGACAAAGAATGCATAAACCTAAACCAATGTGATAGACTCTGAGCCATGTCACACATAGTCTCCAACCTTTGTTTACGATAGTCACGCGGACCCCACCAAGTATTCTGCATCTGCCAACGTGGCTCAGACTAGAAGTTAATGACTTCAAGGACTGATGCCACATTTTGGTTTGGCCGCCACTAACTTTCTTCCAACCATCCCCAACACTAGTCACAATTGTGCGTCGTGGTAATCGGTGTTCATGCAACATTACACGTGGCACATCCATCTCAGTCGATGAAGATTCACAACCTCATCAACTGATTTACCATCATTTCCTGATACCCTTCGTCTAACCTCACTATTACACTTATGTTTTCCTTTTTAAATTTACAGTTAGAACCACAAATGATGGCATGGAGTCCAGATGTTGCAACTCGTTTGTGTATAGCTGATCCAAATAATCCAAATGCTAATGTTCAATTATGGGATCTTCGTTATCCAAAACATATGCTTTGTTTATTAAGTCATTGGCCACCATTATTATCATCTAATTTGAAAACAACTAACTTATTAAATAATTATGCATTAGGGAATGCAGGTACAGTAAATTCATTATGTTGGGGTATACCAGAATGTCAAAAATCAATGAATAAATCAAATTTCTATGATAAAGATATGATTGTTATGACAATTGGTGCTTCTGGTGCATTACCAACATTAAACGGTAATTATGGTACCAAATTAAATCCAACTTATGCTGAAATGTTAGTTGTTTGGAGCGTTAATCAAGCATTAAACTCTACACGGATAATGTAACATGTCAAGAAGGTTTGTGTTTTTGTTACTACTTAATCATTATATAATCAATTTTAATGAAATTTTTTTCTATTATATTTTTTATTTTACCCAATTCATTTTTCTGTTATTTTTTGAATAAATTACCATAGTTACAAGTATTTGAAATCATTGCATATGGAAACCAATCTCTATAGTTCATTCTTTTTCAAGAATTCATGTACTCAAACGATTTTTTCTCTCGATAATTGATTCATCGATGATCATCCAATCAATGATTAGGGGAGTGGAAAACAAGTACTAGAAATAACTATATATATTACGTTTGGTGTCTTTTTAATACATGATGTCGACATGGTGTTCTTCTGGCCTATCACGACCCTTATCGATAAGTTAGAAACACTTGAAAAGATATATTTTCCACAATTTGATTAGGGTTGTATGTGATAGTTGTGAAATATTAACGTCACGATTAAAGTATTCTCTTTTGAATTCATGAATTACATGTACCAACCATATTGTATCTAATTTCATTTAGGTATCATTTAGATCCCTAAGATCTTATATAGATAAACCTAAGACATAAAGGCGGGATCGTGGATGCGCACTGCCGAGGAGTCCCATACTAAGATGAAACGGCCGTCCAGTGCTTCCAGGCTTTCCATGGTAGTCTAGCTTCAATTGACCCATGAATTCAACTAATAAAATAAAACAATATGTTTTATATCAAATTGGATCCTATGACTATATGCTATATGCATGCAAATCCGTCCGTTTATTGTTCCTATTATACCCGGGTAGTATCCCAGCCTTCACACAAATCGAATGATTTATGTTGAGTAACATTAATCATGGAAAAGATGGACCATTGAGAATATGGTTCTAAAAGGTAAAGTGAAAAGGTATTCATGGGAGGATATTGTAGTTCAAGGTCGAAAGAAAATAAAGAGTGAGTACATCTGCTTCATTGTGAATGATTCTGAATCAGGTTACCCAATGTCTCCAACTGCTCATCATGGTTATCGTGTGGACCCCAATCATGTAGTCTGCTTCTATCGAAATGGTTCAAACCAAACAGTCAATGTAATGATAGACTGGTACTACGTTTTGGTTTGACTGACTCTAGCTTTTCATAGCAAACATCTAGCGACTCTTAAATAGGGTTAGTGGATACAGGAGATTTACTTATTGGAGTTGGAGAACCGTGATTCTGGACTAATGGTGCACATGAGCTCTAGTATCTTGAAAGACCGAATGGTTTATGAAACTATTTCGGTCACCGACTACCGTAATACAACATCTAATGTCACTCTACTGTCTTGTGTATTAGATCTCCAGGTTATAATCTCATGAAATGACCGCCTGTTTAAGTTTGAGTGCTCAGATCTCTCAAAAAAATATGTGTTCGTTGATTCACTTAACTTTATCCATTTAGAGATTGGTCAATTACAGTCCTAAACAATAGTAGGACGATTCAAACAATATATATATATATATATATATATATATATATATATATATATATATATATATATATATATATATATAGATCGAAATCTTCGTGTGCAAGCCAATCGTCATCTGAACTCAGTAGCTAAGTGGATAATGCGATGTCGTCTGAAACGAATGGTACTGGGTTCGAGTCCCGAAGTGAACATCACCTCTGGGAAGAAGACACATCCATCTGACGAGTCTCAAATAGGACGAAATGTGCATTATAGATTCCACTATCAACATCTTTTTATCTCTGCTTAAATTGCTTAGCGTTAATGTCAATATCAATGCAGTTTGCACAGGATTCACATCCGTCAAAAGTAACCGATCAATCACAGCCCCTAAACATTAACCGGGATAATTCAAACAACGAATACGTATATAAATATTCCTGTATATTTGAGTAGTAAAGCTTGATGAAGATCTAATTAAAGAAAAAAGACAATCAATATTGTTCGCTTATATATGTATACGGTTTTAATTATAAAAAAGTTTTCCTCCCACAAATGGTTACAGTTTATTTCATTATTTTCTTTTCTTCTTTCAATGATTAGCAATACCGGAACCAATATTTATTGGTCGTTTAGAAGGTTTAGATGATCAAGAATTAGTTAGTCCATTATTATGTTTTAATACATTACCAACAAATGCTTCTGTTCAATGGATACCAAATCATCCTAATTTAATATGTGTTACACAATCAGATGGTTGGATAACAGTATATAATTTATTAAGTGGTATAAATAAACAAATTGAACAAATAAACATTGAACGATATAATAAACAATGTATATTAGCGAGAAATTCATTAAATTTACGTAATTCACATAAAGTAGCTGAAGTATTTCATAATGAACAATTATTAATGGATTATAATAATACTGATAATACTATTATTCCTACTACTATGAATAATAATAATAATCTTCAATCAGATTCATTATATCCTGTATTTATGAATGATCCGAATGTGAATAGTATTGATAAAGAACAAATCAATTCAGGATCAGATCAGTTATTATTAGATAATCATAATTCTATGGATTCAGTAAATCTTTCATTACCTCAAGTAAATAGAATTGTATATATTGTATTATTATTTCTATTTCTATTCTCTGATATTAATAATTAAGATCATAATGTTTTGTATTTATCAGAAAGAATCATATTTATTCAATGTAAAGGGTTTATTTATTTAATCACCATTAACCGAACAGAACACAGACGACTGTTAATGGGGATCCACTGTAATAGTGTTTGTTCCACCCTCGTACTTAGTACTATGCCTATACCTCGCAGTTCATGAGAACTAGACATTAGGTCACCAGATACACGGAGGGTAACAATTTCTGCAATGTGTGTTGTATATACCTTCAGTGTTTTTTCCTAATTCCCACTTTAGCTGGAAGTTGATTTGTTCTCTGTCAGAGTAGGTTGTTGTCGATGGTATCCGGCCGACGGACATTGAGTATTTTGCATAGATAATTGCTTTTAAATACCTGTACTTTTTTTGTGATGGTTATAATGTAGTGGACACTGCTCATATGATTGTAAGTGGTTTGTAGCGGAACGTGACGTCGAAGTTACTATAACTGTCAGACGGAATGAAGATTTTCGGTGCAGTGAAAGCACAGCGTTGTCAAAACACTTGGAGACCAAACGAGATGATAGTTCATATTGGCAGAATACAGTAAAAGATCCAAATGGACGGCTGAAGGTTATACATATGTATTCTGTAAATACTTTGTAAATTCTCTCAATGAATACACATTCCCCCTGCTTACGGTCGCGTTTTACAGTTTTAGTTCTCGAAGTTTCTGTTCCGTACAGTAGAACTGTCTTGACGCTCGTATTAAAGATTCTGAATTTGATGTTGGCTGACAATTGTTTTGCGATGCATATGCTTTTCAACTGTAGGAATGCGGCCCTTGCTTTGCCAATCCGTCCCTTCATATCTTGCACATAGTAGTAATTTATAATGAAAAAATGGAAAGTTGTACCATTATTAAGAAAGTTACCATTTGCTTGTGGAAACTTTAAGTGTTGAACAGTAGTATTTTCCCAGTTGACAACGATGAAGAAGCGACAAATGCATATCGAAAATAGTTTCTAAATTTAAAACTATGGAAGAGGAGAGCTAAGGTCATGATAAAATAAGTGATCTGACATCATTCCTGAACAAAAAGACGGGATTTAGGTTTAGAATTGATTGATCTCTGCGTAGTGACGAATATCTTATGTGTTAGCAAGATGTACTTGTAATCTTCAAGGTAATGATACTCCCTGACTGATTTGACCTCTTGTTACCAAGCTTTACAGCCGCAGACGTTACCACTGAGCTGTCCGGGCAGCAACTTACTTCATGTAGGACTGAATACTGACTGGTATCCCGTATGTCAAGTCCCTCTCACTGGTGATCGAATTTTTCAGAGAGCAGGTACACCTTCCTAAGCAGTACCAAACAGTACGAAACCTAATTCCAGTATATACTGTCAACTACCTACAATCACTACGTTACCATGTTCAAATCTATGAACTACCAGTGCTTCTTCAATGGATAAATCTATTATCATACCGGTTTGCTTAACTTAAGCATGATATATTATCATTGTAAGTGTTATTGCCACCAAACTTGAATTATTTATAATTTTTAAAAGTTTGTTACATTATTGCATTCATTCCTTTTTACGTTTTCATCATGTTTTAATAATTATAGCCTATGCCATTATTACGTGTTGCACCAAGTTGGTTGAAGAGACCCTGTGGTGTCCATTTTGCTGTAAGTCGTATATACGTTAATTTTCATATAAAGTCACTATGCATTATTGATCAGTGTGTTTTACCATGTTCACATCCTGAATGAATTGTCTCGCTATTATTATCTAGTCGCAGGTTTTTAGTAAAATTGGATAATCGTTAGCGATATAATCCAATCCATGAAGCGTGTTTCATTTTACTTGTGATTCGGTAGTTGGGATGCATCTCTATTCTGATGTTAATATTCATATTGGCACTTGAGCTTTAGTTTTTTTCGCTACAAATGCACTATTCGTCGCGCTCTTGAATTCAGATGGATTACTGCGTATAAAGCAGGTATGAGTTATTATGATCTTGTTGGAGAAAATGAGTAGTACAGGAGAGGAAGAGAGAGTGAAGGATTCTGATGATATGGTTTCATTCACAGACCTATGTTTTATTCGTCATCATAAAATGTTTACTATGTCTTTATCATGTTTTGTTTTTTAGTTTGGTGGAAGACTTGTCACTTTTTCATCTTTAACAAATCTTCAATCAAAACGTACTCGTACAAATAGTTCAATGAGTAGTTCAAAACGAACTGATCCAAATAGCCGATCATCAGATATAGGAAGTATTGAACAAAATTCAACAGTAGGAACAGTACCTGATCAAAATCATTTAAATTCTACAGAATTTCAATCATATTATGTTTTTATTAAATGCATTGATGTATTTCAACTGGAACCATCATCATCGCCAACAGTACAACTACATTCTTCTGTTAATAGCAATACTAATGGATCAGATGATCAGTGGAAGAATTCTATACAAGATATAATCGAATGTTTGATTAGTGTACTTGATTGTCCCAATGATTATTTAAGTACAGTTTGTGAAAATGCTAAAGCTTTATTCAAACCGATGCTTAGTAATAATATTAATAATAATCCGTCGCTAACAAATGGTCAAGATCATTTGGATTTATGGAATGTAATTCAAGTAAGCTTTCATCTCTATTGGTTCATTTCTTAACTCAAAATTGTGTCATAAGTAATTGGTATTGTTTTAAACTTAAACTTTTGTACATATTTACTAAATTACTAGGATCTATAATCCATCAATGACAGAGATCTGTTTACGCTTATATTAAATCAATAACCTACGCTTCCATGAATAACACAAATGACCACTAATCAATAACTGAAGTTACTTACATTTATTGGTACGCAAAACATCTATTCCCAATAGCTAATTACGTAACCATAATACATTGAAAGTATGAAATCATAATTTATTACATAATTAGATCATATATTATACAAAATTAAATAATATATGCCTATTTGATTAACGGTAATTACAGAACAGTAAAATATACATCAAATAATTCTTAGTATCAGAAGGGGTTTTGTGTAGATTGTAGTAATTTCAATAGTTGAGATCATGATTCAATTGAAGCTAGACCATCATGGAAAGCCTGGAAGCACTGGACGGCCGTTTCGTCCTATTGTGGGACTCTTCAGCGACTCGCATCCACGACCCCGCCTCGCGGGATTCGAACCCAGGACCTATCAGTCTCGCACGCGAGCGCTTAATCACTAGACCACTGAGCCGGCATCCAACAGTGTTAATGTCTTAAATGAAATACAATAAGAACGAATTATAACCAACCAAATGTTTAATTATTATTACAGTATAAATATGTATACTGATTTATTGTATACCATTTCTATAATTTCTTCATTATTTACCTAATATCTATCAAGTCTAGCTTGTCTAAAAATAATGTAAACTTAAATTACTCTTAAATATAAAATTTACTTAAAGCAATATTAAAAGTGGGGTACAAATGAAGAATAATGAGTTCATAGGGGAATATTATTATTAACCTTGACACAAATGAAAGATGGTTTCAGTATAGTGTATTAACTTGAAAAAAGTTTGCCATTTCGAATTCATGTAGGGTTAAATATATTCAGTTGTTATAATAATGTAACTCAGTTACTAAGTTTGCATTGCTTACATGGAAAGAACACCAACTGAATCACACTTGATGGAGAAATTCTGGAAGATGTGTAAGCTTTTACATACAAGGAGTATCTGATGCAGAAATAAAGGCAAGGATTGACAAAGCAAGGGCCACATCCCTACAGTTGAAGAATATGTGCAACTCAAAACAATTGTCAGTTAACATTAAATTGACAATCTTCAATAGGAACGTCAAGATGGTTCTACTGTACGCAGCTGAAACTTCGAGAAAGTACAAGAATTTATAAACAATTGTCTACTTAGGATTCTGAATGTCCGTCGGTCGGATACCATCAGTAACAACGTACTATGGGAGAGAACAGCATCCAGATGAAGAGGAAATTAGGAAAAGATGCTGAAGTTGGATAGGACATACAGTAAGGAAATTATCAAAGGGTGTCACGAGACAAACGTTTACTTGGAATTCCGAAGTGAGAAGGAAAAGTGGAAGATCAAGGAGTACATTGCGTCAGGAATCGAAAGCAGACATCATAAGAATGATTAGCAACTGGAAAGAACTGCTCAGGACAGAATCTTGATTAACGGCCTATGCTGCTCCACAAGAAGCAACAGGCGTAAGTAATTAAGCCAACGTGAAAGCTTGATGTGTAAGCGATCAAAATAATGATTGGTCGTTTGCTTATTCAGACGAGTAGAGATAGTCTGACAGGTATTAGATAAGTTATACATTTTCTACCCTTATTATTATCATCATCGGTTTTGTTGTCGGTTTTTTTTTAAAGTAGAAATATATTTATGTTCTATTTATGCTAGTCATGTGTTCTTGATCTGAGTTGTGTTGAATTCCTGTATAACAGACGCTGGAAGGGTATCTAGTGTAAGTATTAGTCTAAGGTAAATTAACGTCCCATTTGTGTGAGCGGTATAACAAAGTTATTAGTATCAACCTATTGTTAAAATATAGTTATAAATGTATGGTATATTGAATGCAAATGGAGTCCTCTAACCACTAAATCAATGATGTTTTGTCATTGTTGAAGATACAAATTCTAATTGTTGGATTTCTTATTTCATAAAACAGTAATCGAGTTTTAACACTAATGAGTACAAGACAAATACTATAATTAAAGATTTGACGATTTCAAATCTCGTCACTTCAACTGCTGGATAATACGACATGTGATATCAAAAAAGAGACTGGCATTTCATAAAATTATGATTACACAACATATACATATATGAAATTGAAAGGTGATGTCGACAATTACTAATAAAGTGGATATTGTAATTAATTCTAAAATATACTTATCAATGTCGGAGAAAAATCCGTCTATCGTATCTTGTTTACTGGTTTTAATCACTGATTATTTCACAAAGCAATAGAAATTTGAATTATGAAACCATGGGAACAATTTAAATATTGGTATGAACACTTGCTTGTCTAGTATTCTTGATCTACGAGACATATTCCATTAAAGTGAAAAAACGCGTTTCAAAAAGGTTTCCATCTAAAATTAGTTGGAATATACTCGATATTCTTGGAACCAACGATGTTGTTTATTGGATTCTGCGGTCGTCCGAGTCTAACGCTGATATATATATATATATATATATATATATATATATATATATATATATATATATGTACGCTTCCTATAAGCAAGTCAGATCTGTTGTTGTAGTCTGAAAACCGAGATTGATGTATTATTATGTATGATTTTCCATGAAATAATAAATTGGTTGCCTTCACCAAGTCTTCGTTCACTATAGTAACAAAACTAATTTAGATATTATTATCATCACTGTAGCCTTACGCATATTACCTATCGTATTTTAATATTATTATTTTTTTGTTTTGTTTTTGGTGTTACTCATTTCATTGTATCTCTGTGTCATTGTTTTTTTTTCTTTGAATTTCATCTAGGCTCGTTTAGATAAATCAACTTCAGTAAAATCATCATTGTCCAATTTGTTAGGCTACAGTAAACAGGATTTTCAAGGTAAGTATTTGTTGTTGTTGTTGTTGTTGTCAACAAAATAAAGTATATTTTCGACTTGATTGTTATTTAGTTTCGTTTTATGTATAAGACACAGTAAATTAGAGCAAAAAGGATAAATCAGTTAATTAATTAAATAGATTGATTGTTGTAATGGAATCATGTTTTATGTGTTGGCTAAATCGATGTTTACCCTAATCTACTATCGTCAGTCAGTCATCTACAACGTAGAACCATGCATATATATGCCATACCTCATTAGCACAAGATGAACACCAACTTCATAGAAGTAGTCACTTCGATGGTAATAATATATGAAAGAAAGACTTAAAATAAAGATATGATACAGGAAGAACGAATTAGAAAGGTGTAAAATCATTTTAATCTCACTGTTTAAGGGAAGACAAGGAGTGTATACACCACCGACTCGATTGTGATCGATTCTGAGCCATGGGACCCAGAGTCTCTAACCGTTGGTTACGATAGTCGCACGGACCTCAACCAAGTAGTCTGCATCTGCTGTCGTGTTTGACCCGTAGTTATTCCACCATATTAAAAAAAATTATTGATTGCATTTTGTGTAATATGTACAAATAATTTTAAATTTCAGAATCTAGGATTAGACTAAAGAGCAATTTATCTACTTCATAGGAGCAAATTCTCAGTCAATTCTGCAATCATCAGTTATCATAAGTTCATTGGATTGTTACAATCTCCGCTAGAAGAATTTCTCTATAAAGTCTTTCGAATCCATATAACTTTGTCTTTTCGATACATATCTTTCCAGTTTATCTTGTTAAATCATCTTCTCAATTATTGTAAACTTTTTCTCTGATTCATCTTATTATATTCATCTCATCATACTAATATTACATGACAATTTAAGCTGTTATACATCTATGCCATGCTTTATGTTAATAATAAACATGTCTGTCTGTTAATTCAGAATGATTGATAAATATCGATGATATGCGTATTATCCATTAAACATCGACCTATTATACTGTCTTAGAACTATGAGATATTTTAATGTTATGTTCTTTAAAATTAACTGAATAATAGGAACATGTACTCTACTCTTTCTTTTATCAATACATAATACTTTGGTTTGTATATTAAACCTAAGAAATCCAATTATTGGTAATAGACTGGTGAGATAAGAGAATTTATCGTTTTATATTCACTTGGTGTTGTTTACTTGTATCATCCCTTTTGTTATTTAGGATTGCAATTGATCAGTCTCTTGTTGGCATATTTACATCCTGTATGGACTGCCTCAATATTGCCTGAAGTCACAAACTTTATGAGCAAAGATGGATAATGGCTAGCACTGGAATCCAGGAGTTCCATAATGAACATCAACTCTGAGATGCAGGTATATCCCGCTGACAAGTCCCAAACAGGACTGAACGCGCATCCTGGATTCCACTGCTAGGCACTATCTATCTTTGTTTATCGTTTTATGTTCTTTACTTTAAAAAAAAATATTTTAATTTAGGTTTCAATGAGTCTACACCTTCTCAATTGTTGGATGCGTTGAAATATGCTCTAGTTACTAATGATATTCAAACAATTATTCAATTATGTTTACATCCGTAAGTTTATATATTTTAATGTCTATATAAATACATATAAGCGTAGACTATCGGTTTAGATATGGCTTCATTTACTGTGAACGGATACGCTTTTTGTTCAAAAGGAGTTTTGTTTTCTGAAGGGAATAGATATATGTATATGAATAAGTGTATATATATTCTGGATTCAGACTTAGTTGATAAAATTTCTTTCTTACTGAAGTAGCTGATCAGATTCGTGTTTAGGTGTTGTAACGTTATGTGTCCGATAATGGATACTGATACACGAACTACCTATTCGAAAGCTTCCAACTAGCTACCGAGAACGAAGACCAAGAGTGATGAAAGAAGTTTATTGAACCAAACTTCTTCAATTGCATATGAAATCGCCTATATATATCTTGTGTAATAACACCAACTTTTCATTTGGTGACTTTTGATTGACTCACTGTATCAACTAGTATCTGCTGTCATTATACATCCTGAACTGATCGCCTGAAAATATTGTCCTAGAATCTGTTTCGACGTGTGGAGTCCAAGATTTGATACTGATAGGCAATCCCCCTATGCGTGAGTCCAACTGGCTGTTCTAATTAAAAGACTCCGAATGAGAAAGAAAGGTTACTAGCTAAACCATATCACAAGCATGTGTATTAGTTGTCGGACACAATACATCATAACACTAACCATTTGTAGTCCTGAATATCAACAACGGAAAACTACAAAACTTTACAAAAATCTTAATACCTGTTAAGTAAGGTAACAATTATCTGAACCTAGTTTTGTGGAAATTGGTTTGAATCATAATTTGTGTATTTTAGAGTGCAACAATTGTCCTTAATATCAAACGATATGATATCGCAATGTATTGAAGCTGAAGGTATATATATTAGTGTTGAACCCGGTGTTACTAATGTTCAAGGGTTCACTGCGAAACCTAAAGACCCTCAATTTCTGTCCTGATAAAGGTCATGGGTGAACACTCCTGTTCAGTTCCATTATAAGATGAACAATTTGTCCATTGCTTCCTAGTTTTCTATGGCATCTTAACTGAAATAAGTTTAAATATTACAGATAACTTGTGATAGTCATGAAAGTCACTGTAACTCATTTAAGTTTAGGATATTGTTTACTGATACATGATTCTTTGAACTGTAATCTTTTTTCATTAGGAATTACAGTATTTTGGTATTAAGCCCCCAAATACCCTCGTGGCGGGTGTATTGTTTACGAAATTGAGAGGACGAAAATCGAATGTCCGGAGCTTTAACCGGATTAATGGATATGGTGGATTCACCTAGGGTAATTGGAAAACCCTGATTCCAAACCAATGATGCACATGAATTCCAGTATCCTGAAGGAACAAATGGCTTATGAACGAATTATTAGTCATCGGCTACCATGGGCCCTCCATCTCCTTACGTTGCTCCACTGTCTTGTAGATTAGATCTTTAAGTCAGGGACTCGTGGTGTGGCCCCCTTCGGAAACCACCTGCTTCTGTTTGGGCACCCGGGCAGTATTACAGTCCTTACACAAATCGAATGATGTATGTGGCGCATGTCTATTTGGTGCTTCCTTGTATCTATGTGTGTTTACATAAATAAATAAATAAATAATTTTGGTATTAAACTTATTTATTCTTTGATGGCTTTTACAAAAAAATTATCTGTTCCTCTTACCCATCATGTTTCGCCTAAATTTCTTTATTTTTTCCAGCAAATTTTCATCATTATCTCTGCCAAATCTTTCTACATTAAGTATTTTCGCTATTATGTTAACTGATTTACATCGTTCAAAGCAAATAGAATTATATGAAGATGTAAAATTGAAATTATATCAGACTTTAAATGAAATCTCATTAAATAATCATATCATTTATGATCCAATTTTAAATTCTATCATAATGTTATTTAATTGTGTACTATTACGTACAAATTGGTTAAATATTATTGAAAATTGGCCATTATCAGATTGGAAAACTATATTAACAGCATTGATTAATCATTTATGGGATCAAGATATTGAATTATTGAGAAAGTTATGCTGTAAGTCTTCTTTGTGTGTGTGTGTGTGCATATTATCTGTTTTTGTTACTGACATTGTTGTTGTTGTTGTTGTTATTCATTTACGGGAATAGTTCTATTTAGTTTTGCCGTCAGTTGTAGGTAATTGATTGGTGATTTGAATTTTCGTTTCATATAGTTTCATAGTTATTAATCAACAAGGTATCAGTTTATTATGATCAACATAAAGCCTTTCAGATGTGGATGTTAGTCCAAGTTTCTGTGTCTTATCAGTGTGAGAAAATGAAATTGGTAAGATGATTTCCCCCAAATGCTCTAGTACAACTGAGGGTGAGGAGAGTCAGCTCTCCCTCTCGAAACGCTCTCATATGGCCATACATATACAGCCACTGTCAGGAAAGTCCGACTCAAGGCCTTCTCGCGTTGGGGGTGATGTTTACGAAATTGAGCCAGATATGGAGGATCCACCTAGGGGAGTTGAAAAACCCTGGTTCCAAACCAACGCTGAATACGACCTCCAGGATCCTGAGGGAACGAATGGCGTATGAGTTTATTGTTGGTGACTAGCTACGATGGGACTGCGTCTTCTCAAGTTACTCCACTACCTTTTGATTTAGACGTTTAGGTCAACGGCTCAGGGAGTATTGCCCCCCCAAACCACCTGCTTCGGTTTGAGCACTGGGGCAGTATTCCAGACTCCACACAAATTGAATGATTTATGTAGCGCATATATATATATATATATATATATATATATATATATATATATATGGTGTCTTGTATCATTGTTTGTGTGTTTAAGTAAATAAATAAATAAGACGTGGAGTGATGTTTACGAAATCGTGAGTTGGTTTGGTTAGTTTGGTGGACTGGCAAAGAGGAGTAGGAAAACCCTGATTCTATACCAGTGATGCATATTGGCTCATGTTGTGGTCTGTCTATCCCTAGATTTCTTCTAGCCTGCTCCTGTACCACCAGACATTGTTATAACCACGTCAATCTATGCAGATCCATAACTTCACCAACCTTACTTATCCCCAGTACTTAAGTTCTAACCTCAAGGCTGCTCACTTGGTTGTTCACAGTGTGTGTTCTACGATACCAAAGCTCATGGTATTAAGCTAAGTAGTTTCAAGTTCACAGATTGTTGTGTTGAAGGAGGAGATGGTGACTGGTGGTTCTCCCAGACACACTGGTTAATATCAGAAGGGGTTTGTGGAGATTTGTAGAAATTTTCACAGATAGAAATCATGAGTCAGTTGAAGCTAGACCACCATTGAAAACCTGGAAGCACTGGACGGCCGTTTCGTCCTAGTATGGGACTCCTCAGCAGTGCGCATCCACGATCCCGCACCACGCGGGGCTCGAACCCAGGACCTACTGGCTTCGCGCGCGAGCACTTAACCATTAGACCACTGAGCCGGCATTATTAAATGTTTCATATATACTTCTTTATCCTTGTATTGACTGGATTGCCAGTTGTGAGTTGTTGGCTAATACACGTACTTGTCAGGTGATTTGAGTTGTGTTGGAACCTTGTAGAATCGTACTGGATAGATATATAATTTAAAGTAAGTGAATCGTACACGATAATAATAATGAATCGTCCATTGCCCATCATAAGTAAACTATTGTTCCATTTAGTGTAGAGGAGAAATACAACAATTTATTTTACAGATTTGCTTTACATTAGATCATTTAGGAAAGGTTCCATCTCTCCAATCATGAATGTGGTAATCCGACCTTTAAACTTCTGTCACTGGCTAAAAATTAGGTTTATAATGAACGAATAATCCGAACTTTGACTATTGAGTTGTTAGCTCAAAACCAACCCTATTGATTTCTTTTTGAATATCGGGCTAGTACCATTGAAATTTATGATCCAAAACTAAGCACACGAACCACTACTTAGTTACTCAAATGTGTTTATTAACCAATTTATAAATAACAAATAATATACTACTCATCAGAAATTCTCATCCACAACCCCACCGTAAGAGATCGGACACATGATCCTTGCGCGCAAATACCTAGCCTCTAGACCACTGAACTGGCATCCGATGATGCACGTGTTCAACTTCAATCAACACGCGATATTCTGTCATCACCTTGCATTACCTGTTGGTGATTCCTATACTGGCATAAGACAACTGTTTAGTGCTTCTTTGTTTTCAATGGTTGTTTAGCTATTATCAGTTCATGATTTCAATTATGAATATTGTACAATTTCCTCGATGCCCTTCGCTCTTACACTAATAAAAATATGCTGGATTAGTTGCGGAAATCAAGTAGGTATCAGGATTGTTCAAGTAACACATCAAATAAACTTGAATGTTTAATAACTTTCATTAATTATCACTGTTATCACATAAATACCCTGATATCGATACTTGTGTGTACATCACAAGTTTATTATTAACTTTTTATGTCTGTGTGTTAAAACCAATTACTGAACATTACTAACATCTACCAAGAAGAATAGTAAATTAATCATTGATGCTATTTACCTGGTTTCTCTAAAGAATTAATATCAAAATTTAGATTACTTAAAAGTAGTTTGATAAATTCAGTGAAATAATCAATATATTTCTGTAATATTCCCAAAACAATTGTATTTCTAACGTTTCGTGACTTAATGTAAGTCACTTCTTCAGAGTGAGCAAATAACTGAAATACAATTAACACAATTGCAAAAATTACCCTTGAGATATCATAAAAATATTTTTATTATTAATTTTCTGTTCAACATTCAATCTATTTGAAACTATCACGTCCAACTTTGACCTTGAGTTACTTATCAGTAAAATGATTTACTGAATTAGCTGATTGATAAATTGAATAGATCAAAGTTAAAATTGTTAACATTTGGGAAATGCCCGCCTGAAGGTCTGAAATCCTGAGTTCGATTCATGGTAGAGTCATGGATATCCACTACTGTTCAGTTCCTTATTAGGATGATTTTTGCCATTAATATATATTTACCTTATCCTGATTATTTAATCAATGAACGTCTTATTTTGAAGAATTATTATGTACATATACATCATTACTACAGATTGTATAGAATGTCAATATAATCTTTATGGGAATTCAATTGTTCACTGAAAAATTTATTTTAGGGACTAACATTATCTATACTTTGCACTTGATTATGTACATGTTCACTCATCAAGTTATGGTTATAATTATGACAACAGTTTATTTCGTATTCTCTTTTCATTTTTAAATACTATAAAGTAGTATAACTTATTTTATTGTTCTACATCTCTTCGCAGATATAATAGTTAGTAGTTGAATTTGAGTTTACTAAACAAAACGGTAATTTAATTGTATTAGGACAGTCAACTTCCAGTTACTACGTTACATGTTTAAACTCATCACTCTACTTAATTACAGTTTGACTACTGTTAGGAACTTGAGATCCCCAGAACTCACTTGGGAAAGGACCTAATTTTGTAATTTTATTTAGAGAATTTGAATTCGGCGAATTCGCCGAAAAGAGAACTCTTCGCTGAACTAATCTTTCTTTCTTATTTAATGTCATAATGGGTGTATTTCGTTTACTAAAAAATTGGTTATATGTCTAAACGTTGTCTGTTGAAATGTTTGTGAAAATTTATGGATCGGATGTATGAGTTATTAACTATGATGATGAATATGTTGTTTTTAAACAACATTGTTAGCTTAACAAGTCAATTAGTCTGAACATCCTGAATTCTACACCATCAAATCTATCAGTCATGTAATATTGACTAGTACAGTTGTCATCCTAAATCTAATGTATCTAATATTTATATGTATATTATATCTCTGTTCACTGTTATTATCATTTCGCTTTAAATTTCTGTTCCTTTTTTCATCGATTTTTAGCGATTTTCGCTAAACGTCTACTGGATAATACAACTAACGATAATAATAATATTAATATTACTTCATTTGAGTCTGGATTAGCTGCATGTATCTGTTGTATTATTGGTGATGATCTTGATCATTTAACAGAATGTTGGTTACGTTTAAATAATATAAATGAAAATCATTTGGATGATTTAATAAAATGTTTGGTAAGTAGTGTTGGAGATGTTAGATCCCCACAACTTACTTGGTAAATAACTTATTTTCGTAATTCTATTTTATACATACGAATTTCTTGTTTTCGCACCAAAAGCGCTCATTTTCACCTTCATATCATATTTCCCACTTGGAAGGATCTTAAATGCTACTACTCTGCTGCTTGCGGAATATATTTTCCCATTTCGAACTTATATATATATATATATATATATATATATATATATATATATATATATATGGAATGAGAGCGATTCCTTTATTAAGTGATTGGACGTACTCGAAAACAGATCGTTTGTTTTTACCTAAATATTCTGGTAGTTGACACGTATAAACAAAGTATTTGCCTACAGTCTTGAAGAAATCGATATTCTTTTTGTGGAATGCCAACCCAGTTTACCTGATTCTGTAGTAAATAATAATTACTATAGGGGTTTATAGAGATTATTTCAATTTTAAACTTCGAATCACCGACTGATGTTAAGTAAAGCATCATGTTTAATATTGGTTATGCAACATGATGGTTGCGTGATATTACGAATTGATTGAAGTTAAACACGCAAACTATCGAATGGCGGCTTAGTGATATAGAGATTAGTCATTCTTGTACGAGAGCAATCCCTGGTGATAGGATCGTGGACACACTTTTGAATAGTTCTATATTACGATAAAACAACTGCCAAATTCTTCCTGGTACTCGGTGGTTGTCTCACTAATATTAGTCCATAATGTTTGATATGAGATAATAATTATCCTACGTTAAAATACTAATGTTCAAATTGGTAAATCCCACTATAACGACAATCAACTCTTAACGTAGATAAGTACAATAATGATTCGTTCAATATGACTGAAGAAATAAAATACGTATCAACCACTTCCTAGGAGTACCATAATAGGACGAACCGGTTGTCCAGTGGTTCCAGCTTTTCCATGGTGCTCTAGCTTCAATTGACTTCAATTGAAATAATTTACGACTAATCAATGAAATACAAAATGGGAAATTATACGATAAAAACACTAGTTACTTATGAGTAGTACAATTATAATACATAAAACATTTGAAGTGTTAAGATGTTTGTGATCCACCAAATGAAGTTTGAATTCTGCATTCAAAAAACGATATGATGAGATATACATGTTCTAATAGAAGATTCTTTCCTCATTTCATATTTACTTACAATTATTATTTAATTTCATTGTTTAGCCATTAGCATTACTACTACTCTTCTTATTTCGTTTATCATCATCTACTGGAATTAATCATTGTACAAATAAATCAAGTCAATTATTAATTCATCTTACTATATGGTTAATTGAAACTAGATTTGATCATAATAATAATAATGGATCAAATGAACAGATTAGTTTACTTGCTTTAAATTTATTAACAAAAACTTTATCAATTGTTGAATTATATTCACAAACAATGAATAATTTAATTGATTTAAGACATCGTATTTGGTGTAATCTAAGCATGGAACAACAACAACAACAACAACAAAAACAACAAATATTATCCAATGAATTATCTCAACAATTTTTATGCCCATATCCAGTAAGTTTTATTTGTTCATTTTTTTGTTCTTTTCTTCTTCCAATGCTTTCTTTATTTTAAGTATATTTATGTCAATTGTCGAATGTATGTATGTATCTAACTGAGGAGTCCGAAATAGGACGAAATGTGTATATTGTATTGGACTGTTAGTCATGACCAATCTTTTCTATAATCGAATAATTAGTTTATATGGATTATGATGAAAATCATCTGTTCTTTAAGAATTAATGATAAATAACTAACAGGTAATCTGTTTGTTAAGTCTGTCGAAGCGTCCATGTCACCCGATTGAGATACGCCCAAAACCGAAGTTTCCAAAACAACGATTTGTCTACATTAGCGGCTCTTTAGTGAATAATAAACAAAATTTAGTTACAAACCTCAACTTGTGAGATGTCTCAAGTATTTAAACGCTTCCATTCAAATATGAAAATGAAAAGGCTTCCTGTAACAGTAACATAAAGAATAATTATAACATACGATAGTACAAAGGACAGCTGATATATGTGTCTAAATTTGATAACAGTTTATGAGCAACCGAAACTCGAACCAAGAGCAAAACAATATGGAAAGTGTTGCGCTTAAACAAATGCAAAAAACTGTGGATAACTGCTACAATGATTAAGATACAGTAATTATAATGATAAATACAATGATAAGTACAATAAACGTTATAAGTATATGTGTACATTTCAGAATATTACAGTACAACTTGCGTTACAACATAAATCTAAAAATTGTTGGGAATACAACTGCTTACTGAATGTAAATAAGTAGTATAAGACAATATACAAAAGAGTAGAAAGGGAACGAGTAGGATCAATGTAAAACAAACTTAACACTGCTTTAACATTTACATCACTGACAACCATTAACAACTAGGGACCACTAGAAATCTGTTCCGTTCTTATACGAAAACCGTTACGACTTTAAGCCTGGCTAGTTATCATGTGATATAATCGCCAGTCGAAATATCACTTACACAATCTTAGCACTGTGACAAACCAATGACATTCAACAGGTATGAGCAACCTAACATCCTTATTGGTCGTTTGTTCGTCAAGCCTGTCCAGTTGAAACCAGAACGCCAATAACATCTTCCATTATACGAATCATTTATTTCCAACATACTTGGTTTATATACCAGACAAACAGACTGCATCACACCATAAAATAGGAAATAACATTTATACAAGATCAATCCAAAAAGTGGCTGTAAATGTGGGAGACTGTAATCAATAAACTGAGTATAATTTAAGAACAGTAAATCGTACAATAATAATCTATGGGTCCAAATGAAGCTTATAGTAAAAGGAATATAGATATACGTAATCTAGTTACTGAATAGTTATACAGTAACAATATATATATATATATATATATATATATATATATATATATATAATATTAGTCCACTAATAATTCTCAGAAGTTGCCCGTAATTTAATCTTCACTAGGATATAACAAAACCCTCTGTTAGTACATATCCATGTCTTTACTGGGGACCTAACTCATGGCCTTCAGGTTTCGTGGTAAGCAGCTGATTTAAGTTAGGCATGTACATCAAAAGGTACTGACTTAGTGGTATGGAGATTAATCACCTATCACCTAGTCTGGTGGTGATGTGTTTGATCCTTTTGATTGGGTTGTTGACAATCAGAACTAAGATTCACTACCTCGTCTATTGATTCACCATACTCGCTTAGTACTCTGTGTCTAACCTAAAAACTGCTAACTCAACGGTCCTAAAATATACAAGTAGTGCTTCAAAGACACCTATGGAAGAATACTAGTAACCTGTGAATATCCTCTATTCTTAAAGACTACGTTTCACAGCTTTGAAGAAGAACCGAGCGAATATCTAATCTACGTCAGAAGTGACATAAGTTGGCAAAAACTAACCAAACTTCCTGACTTCTTGCCAAGGATTCATGAGACACCAACTCATCTTATCTGATAGGATTTCCAAGATAACTAAAATCATGGATTGAAATGTTAGATTGTGATCAAACATCAAACGGAACATCGATATGACCGTTGGATACGCTATTGTAATGTTATTGGTTTTGGACTTTATATATATATATATATATATATATATATATATATATATATATATATATATATATATATAATTTATTTATTTATTTTTGTGTTAGCATATACAATGTCATTGTGATCTATCAAAGGCTAATTCATCCACAGAAATACAATCATCTTTATTTATTAAAACAACTAATACTAATTATTATCAACCACAACAGTCAGTAAATTATCCATCTTTATCTAATCAAACAATGCAATGCACATATCAGTCAAAAATAAATCAAAATCAATTTTATGAACAAAATAATCTTGATAGTTTCAATTATCCAACTTTTTCTTCATCTTCTACTAATTGTTTGTCGTTTAATGATAGTGTTGTTGGTGTACAGACCAGTATATCTGGACAAAATAAATCTACGTAAGTTTTGAAATCGGTTGCAATTTGGAAAATTCATTCAATTTGATTGGTTCTGTGTTAGATTTTAAGTTTTTACAGAACAGTTTTTATGATGTTCTGGTACGACTGAGAGTGGAGTGAGTTAGCTCCCCCTCTCGAAATGCTCTCACATGGCCACACGTATATAGCCTCTGCCAGGGAAGTCCTACTTACTGCCTTCTCGTGGCGGGGGTGTTGTCTACGAAATTGAGAGGACGAAGAGCGAATGTCCGGCGCTTTAACCGCGTTGGTGGATATGGAGGATCTACCTAGGGGGGGTGTCGGAAATCTCTGATTACAAACCAATGATGCGAATGGGCTTCAGTACCCTGAGGGAAACAAGCGGCATCTGATCCAATTTTTGATCACTGGCTACCATGGGACTTCATCTCCTAACGTCGCTCCACTGCCTCGTGGATCAGACCTTTAGATCAAAGGCCCCGGTTGTGGCCCCCTACGGAAACCACGTTCTTCGGTTTGGGCACCGGGCAGTATCCCAACCCTCACACAAATCAAATGATTTATGTGGCGCATATGTATTTGGTGCCTCTTTGTACCAATGTTTATGTGTTTAAATAAATATAGATTTTGGATAGTAGTGGAATTCAGGGCTAATTTTTCGTACTACTTTGGAGTTTCATCAGCCAGATGTTCCTACATCCTCATTCACAATTTCAATTCAGTACTATTCACTTCAAGCGCTATCACATTGTTCACTTAGCTATTGAGTGTAGATAGCTATTCATTCATTCAATGGTTATGAATTTAATGTAATTTGTTGTGGTTTTAGATTAATCTGGTTGTTGATATTTTCATTGAAATCGGACCACTCGTATACTGTTTTATTCCATGAATAGGACTTCCTTGGTACTGGCTATATGAGTGTATTTCGAGAGGGAGGGCGGACTTTCTTTACCCTCGGATGTAACACGGCACTCGGTGGGCCAAGCTTAATATAACGGGTTCGGTCAGTCAGTTAAACGTAACGTAGCACATAAAACCAAAGGCCGAACTATACATTATAGAGTGATGAGTCTGCACTGCAGAGTTGTCTCATATTAAGATGGGATATCAAATCGGTCGACCAATTAATTACTATTAACATAATATCTGTCACAAATCATAATCTCTGACTCACCCTTCATGCTAATATAACTAAATGAAATCGAATAAGTGATAAATTATTCAGAAATCAATATAAAAATCTAGACAAAATATTTTGTTGAAAAGAAACGTACATGACTATCCTGGTCTGTCCGGTTTTTTAGTGTCTCTCAACAGATTCTAGATTACGGTGATTATTATCAACAAATCCTTCATCTTAATATGGTGATATGATGAAGGTTGATAAGATCCTTTTAGCAATCCGTCATTGCTGACGATTTTACAAGAAAGTAATGTTTTTTTTTTACATATTTTGATAAACTACTTTTTCTTATAGATTCAACTTTTCTCCGCCTATATCATCATATAACGCCGATGTACTGCCATCACTTACTTCTCCTGTTCCATCCACAATGTCATCATCCTCCTCCTCAAATATTTACTCTCCACTGGGTTTACCACCTGTAAATTCAATAAATCAATCGAATCTATCATCGGCTAGACAATTTCCACCTGTTGTCGCACCACCTCTACTAGATGCCAATTATAACAATAATAATAGTAATAATAGAAACTATCCTGTAATGAACCATCGTTATGTACAACCTCCAAATAATAATCTATTAGGAACAGATTCAGTTTCTGGAAATAGGTAGATCATTTTTTTCTTCAAATGTGGGGATACTTGATAATTAAAATGATGTATTTTGTGGTTATTTTTCTCTGTAGTTTTCAGTGTAAATCAAACAGCTTTTTTTGCGTTAAACAGGGTTGATTAGCATTTTCACCTTGACTGTTCCGAAGATTGTATTCTAAGGTTATTAGTTGCAGTTATCTATAGTGTGTTATAAAAAGATGAAGTGTGGCTAGTAATGAAATCTAAAACGTGCGTTTTGTCTTGCTTGGGGCTCGTCAGCTAGATGTAACCACATCCCATTCACAACTGGAATTCAATACTGTTCACTTCAAATACCATTGCATTATCCACTTAGCTACTGAGTGTAGATAGCTACTCATTTGTTCAATGGTTATGGATTGTAATGTAATTTTAAGTGGTTTTAAATTAATCTGGTTGTTATTATTTTCATTGAAATTCGATCATTCTTAGTTGTAATCCAGCTGAAAAGTCCCAAATAGGATGGAACGAGTATCCTGGATTCCACTGCTAACGACATTCTATTTCAGCTTATGTCATGATGACTATACCCAGTCAATCCCGTTAGGTTACCCGTATACCAACTAATATTGATCAAATTTCAATCAACATCATCAACAACAGGATAATTCAGATAATTTCAAGTTATAGTGTGTTCTGTTTTTTTTTGGTAGAAAAACAGTCTTTAGTGAAGTTTTTTGATGTTATTGTTTTAGTTCGGTCACATGATCCCGATTGAATGTGTTGTTTTTATCTTTGCTGTTCTTCTACTGTGTTGGTTAATGATTCCTCTTCTATCCGATAAAATCTCTTGTACTTGTCTTTGAGGTACGCTTTAAGTGTGAGGGTTACTGGTAACTACTGCTTGTGTGCTTTAAACAAATTAGATGTAATGCGTTTCAAACTTACAATTTATTAGCTACGAGTTGAAGGTCTTAAGCATTGAGGCATCACTTCATATTAACTGAAACTATTTCACTTTATTAAACAGACAATTGTTTAAAAAGTCTGTACAAAATCTTAAGTAAGGAACTATAAAGTGGTTTACCTAAACTAATGATAAGTAACTCTAAATAACCAATGAACAAAATGCCAAAACCTAATGTGTGTTTATAAATGGTTGTTATAATGCTTTTTAATGCCTAAAAGGTTTAACATTTCAAGTCATTTCAACTATATCAGAATGTTTTAGTAGAATTGTTTTTGTATTCTGTACTATGTAGTCTGATTGTAAACTGTTCAATATTTACCTAAACAACATTGTCAGCAATTGAAAAAAATTTGAGCAATTAGTATTTCTCCAATAATTTGCTTTGTTGACATGAAATGTTTTACTTATCTATTGTCCATCACTGTATGGTTGTTGTTTGCGTATTTGTTGTGATTGTATTTCTCTCCTGAGTCGATCCCTGACTATTCACTTCTGAAATTAATTCAATCTATGAGCCAGTATGAAAGATGCAGAACAGCTAGAATGTCAGAAATGTAAAGAAAGTGTCAGATAGGTGATTATAATCAAAACAAAAATGTTTGAACTACGGCAACATGATTATAAACAACAACTAGTCATATTGCGGGTCAACAGAACAAGTCGTTAGTCAATTGCAAAAAAATAGCTAATTGATAATGTTGTCTAGAGGGATACCGAAAACTTCATGACTAAATATCATCTAGCTCATAGGAACACAACGCCTGTAAAATCTCCATCCTGAACTGCATTATTTTCGGTGGATAATTCTAACAAACATATCTTAAGATGTCCATCTTATAAAAATAAACGCTCGCACATACATACGTGTGTATACATTGAAAGATTTCATCTTTGATTTTTATTATTTAGTATATCGAATGTGCTAAAGCCGCCATTGCCTGCAACACTAGCATCACCAACACAATCAGCCCAAATGAGTACAACCTTTGGGCATAACTTTGGTGGATCAATGCCTCCTAGTTTTCAATCATTAAACAATGTGCCTTATGGTATGATAACACCTATTCCTCAGTTCAACGTCCAACAACAACAGGAACACATTCAACAACACATGCCACCGCTACTACCAGCACCGATGCCGATACCACCACCACCACAAACACAGCATCAGTCATCAGTGATATCACCAGGTTGGAATGATCCGCCTATCTTAACAACTGATAAACCACGTCAGGTATGTCGTGTCATTACTAGTAATATTAATTTTGTTGTTATTGTCGATTCCCATTTCGTGTGGAGTTTAGCTTTATACTACATACTGATCGTAGAATGAGTATACTATATATCACTCTTAAATGCCCTTACACATCCGAGAGTAGAGACAGTCCGCTCTCCCTCTCGAAATACTTTCATATAGCCACACGTATATAGCCAATACCAAGGAAGTCTTATTCACTGCCTTCTAGAAGTAGGGTGATGTTTACGAACTGACGGAGAGGAGTTGGAAAATCGTGATTCCAAACCAATTATGCACATTGGTTCGAAAATCCTGAGAGGAGAAATGGTGTATGAAGGTATTCTTTGTCACCATCTACCATTTAACCGCATCTCCTATCGTTGCTTCATTGCTTTGTGGATCAAAGTCTCTGTAAGTGGTCTCCTATAGAAACCATCTGCTTCGGTTTGGCTGACCGGCCAGTATCATACAAACTCAATGATTTATGTGGGGTATATATAATTTGTTTGACTGACACCTGAGAGGTTAGCCGATAAGCTGACTATAATGTTTTTGAGAAGCACTGATGTTGGTATCTGCAGGTATCCCCATCAACTTCACCACTGGAATATATTTGCTGTCTTGATAATTATATGTGCATGATTTGATGGAATATCATAAACCACGTTTTCAGGGTGTAGAATCTTGAGTTTCTGGTTATACTGGATAACTTGTGAGGGTGTATTGTCGAAAATTTCGAAGGTTTGTGACCAAGATCATATTCATAGTGATAGAGCAAGTTAGCTCAGCTCCATCTTGTTCTCTGTATACTTTTGCTTTGCAAGACGCCAAACCTTTTTTGCTGCATATGCTGGCTAAACATTTTCATTTATTTATGTCCTTCTAAATTGTTCAATATCTATCGGTCAGTTATTGTAAATGTTTCACAAATCCTGAGTAAAACTTGTGGCAGAAATTTCCTTCATGAAAAGTGCTATTATATCTATGAACTACACGAATACACTTAGTGTGTGTGTATTCTAACCAAATGTTGGCTGATGCATCTACAAATGTTTACATTTTATTTACAATTTTTCTAGACAACTGTTTCACACAACCCTTATTATAATCCTATGGAATTTATTAGTTCACCTTTGCCTCAACCGAATAATTCCGTATCACCTTCGAATTTTCCTCAACCAATGATGGAACTACACACTACTCCTTCAAATCCTCCTTTACCACCAGGTTGTCCTGCTACTGGATTAAATGTATATCAACCTGCGCCACCACCAATTCAAAATTCTATCTCACCTATAAATGCTGATATAATTCATCCTCAGCAGCAACTACAGCAGCCCTTGCCACTGTCATCGACACATATTCAACAGCAATCATTATCATCATCATTCTTGGGACCGCCTGTTCAACAGCCATCGTATCCACAAGTACAAGGAGTATATCATCAACAAGAACAGTACCCAAATTATTTCCAACCACCGATTGAACAAAATTCTCAGTTTTGCACTATATCGTCAACACTACCACCTATGTCATCAGTTGTTCCACCGAATTCCTACACCGAACTTAATCTTTGGCCTGCAGCTCAACCTTTATCTACTACCGTTAAATCTGGGATTACCAGTCAAACTATTATTGAAAATGCCATGCCATCGAATTCTTTCACTTCTTCGAATGATGACCATACTGATTTACAATTATCACATAAGTTAGATTCTACAAGTTTAAACTCTGATCACAATAATGTTAATGATTATTCATTGCCAACAGAATTTCAGCCCATAAAAAAAGTGTTATTTGACTTAATTGAAAATTGTCGTAAGGTTGGCGACAAAGTAAGCATATTTATCTAAATTTTACCTTAAATTAATTTATGCATAATACTTGCGTTATTTGTTCTTCACTTATGAATCAGATTCAAACATGATGGCACAAGTCTTGAAGGCACAGAATTGAAATATATAATGATCCCACTACTATAGTAGTAAAAAATCTATTAAAGTTCACAGTTAGTTGATCATTGAATAGTGACCAGTGTCATGTTTGTCTAGTATGTTTCTTGTGATGATCAGTTTCTATTGATCAAGCTTCAATGTGGTGAGTTGTCTATTTGACTTGGCATTTCGTGTGCTATTTCAAGAGGTTAGGTGGTTGTAAGCATTCGAAATAAAACATTCCTTAACCTAGATTTCATCGCGCCCCAAATCAAATTACGAATTTCAGCGATACAAGTTCAAATGCTATATAGATTGACAGTTCCTTTTAAACCACAGCTACTCCCTGCTTACAAGTGCCGACTCGCCCAAAGTGTAATTCTAAAGTTTCCTCCAGACTATCTTCAATCATGTAGTGATTTTTCAATATTCAAAGTAAATTATCAGGTATATATTTTCACTTGTCACGTCTATCTAAAATGAAGACATCTTTTGGGTTGCAAATAAATATCACTGAATTGTTTTAAATTACATTATTAATAAGGACTATTCATTAATTAATTGGGCGTAGTTACCAACATCGGAAATTTCCGTAATTAGTATAACTGTACTGAATGAGGGCTTGGTGGGGTTATTCAAGTTAATACTTCATACAAAATTACAGAGTACCTTTATAAACATCTTCCACCTAATTATATTTCATAACTTTTTCGATTCCTTTGTTGTCCCAATTTCTTTCTGTTCCTCATTCCTGTTTTCGTAAATTCAATCTTCTTTCGGCAAGCATTCCAAGCATAAGTAGAATGCATCACATAATCACTATCTCCTCTTAATTTAAGGGAGGTTTGTATGTATTTCAATAGCCTATTATAAATGAGTATAATAACTTCAATTAAAACATTCTTGGCGCATAGATAAGCACTATTCTAACCAGCTTGATTTGTTCATTTTTGTAATGGTTGTTTGAATATTCCCATTTATGTTTAGGACAACAGTTGATCAGCCTCTCAGTATGCACATGGGTCAATAATAGACTGACCAGTTGCAGTTGTAAATATCAATGGGTAGAAGACAATTGGTTGAAGTTTTGAATGTAGACATTTCTTGTATAATCGATCATTATCACAACAAGGAACTGACATTTTTTTGTTTCTCATATTTATAGTATTTAATGGTAATATCAATCAATCAGTTGAACTATCTTCAATCAAGATATGATACAAACGATATTGATTTATTTAAACCATTGATTTTAATCACTAATAATATCTCAGTAATTAATTAAATACTGTGGTGTATGCTACTTATGCGAACAGGCTTAAGTAGTATGTAGCAGGGATCGGGAGTAATAAGAATAACAACTGGATTGGAATAAGTATGTATGTATGTATATATACTTTAAGACAAACTGGTTTATATATAAAAATTATATATGAAATAATCTCGGCGATTGAAATTTAAATGATTCCAATGTTTCGTCCAACAAACTTGTCTGAACTTCGTCAGGCTAACAATCAAAATTCTTTTTTAAAAATATTGATTATAAGCCTGAAGAAGTCTTAACACGTTTGATGGACGAAACATTGAAATTGTTTCACATAAATAATTGCTACTCTATACTATCAGCAACCTAATTTTTTTTGTTGGTTAAACTATTCATTATTGTTTTCCTTTATCATTTAAGCAAACTCATCATAAATTAATGAATGTTGAATATTGTTTAAATCAATTCTATAAAAATATATCTACTGGTCAATTACAATTAGATCAGAATTCTATGGAATATTTACAATTTTGTATTTCATCTATTCAATCTAATGATTATGTTAATGCATTAAAACAAATAAATTTATTTATACAATCTGCTATAGAATTATCAGATATTCAATATTATGGACCAGCATTAAAAAGATTAATTCAAATTGCTAAACAATTATCTATTAATATGAATAATATTAATCATTGATAAACATATGGATCATATTGATGATGATGATGATGAAGATGATGAAGATAAGAATTCAACAGTGTCTAACTCTTCTAATCTAAACATCTATTGAAGGATTAGAGTGAGTTTTCTGTTGCTGTTGTTGTTGTTGTTAATGGTTTAAAACTATGTTAGTACAGTATAAAAGCATTCATTTGACAATTAGATCTTTTTGTCTTTCCTTTCCTTTCGTTTTCTTTTTTTTCTTTATTATTTATTATTCAATATTTTTCGTCGTAGAAATTCCACTGTCAGTGGTTGAATTCAGTGTAAACTCATTGAATTTAAGCGAAGAAGGTGTGTGGGGGGGAGGGGGGCCATGCGTTATATGATACTTTTAACTTTGTTAATATATTAATCAAATGTCATTATGCTTACTAATTATGGGTGATGATAACTATTATGATTGTTACTATGCTATTACTACTATCATAGGTATAAGTAGTGCATGTGTTTTTTATGGTTTCTTTTTTTTTACCGTACTTGTCTTTGCTTTTTTGTTTACAATTATTCTGCTTATCTGAGATGTCTTTTATTAAACACACATTAAACTTTCATGATAATAATCTCTTGTTTTCTTAATTCATTTCCTTGTTATAATTTTTGTTAAAATGTAATATGTATTGAATATTTAAATAAAAAAAACTAGTTGCAGCATGGATATATATACATCCCTTGACTGTCGTTTATATCTGTCGTAATGGTCAGTCAGTCATAAACAACGTAGAATCTGGCCAAGTTGTCTCACTATATCTTACTTACTTTCTTGCTTACTCTTGTTACTCCCAGTGGAGCATAGGCTGCCGACCAGCATTCTCCAACACACTCTGTCCTAGGCCTTCCTTTCTAGTTCTATCCAATTGTTGTTCATTCTTCTCATGTCTCTTTCCATTTCTTAGCGTAATGTATCCTTTGATCTTCCTCTTCTCCTTTGACTTTGAGGATTCCAAGTAAGGGCTTGCCTTGTGACGCAGTTTGGTATTTTCTTTAATATGTGTCCTATCCAGTTCCAGTGCTTCCTCCTGATTTCTTCCTCCACTGGAATCTGATTTGTTCTCTCCCACAGTCTCACTATATTATCATTATTGTCATTATTAATGGCTTTGTTCAATATTATATTTTGGTACAATATAGAATTCTCAGCACAGGGTATTTCAACAAGTTTCTTACACAGAAAACAGAAACAAAGACAAAAAAGGTTTAAAAAATCTGAAAAACTGTACAACTTTTCAAATTAGAGACATGTTAAGAATGCAGGTTATTGGCTAGGTTAACTCTAACAACCTGTTCGTCACAGAGTATATTTGCTAGATAAGGCACTATAGAACTTTTATACATTTGATTGCGTGCATGGATTTTAATGTAATTACCTCTCGTTCTACCAGAAATATATAAGGAGAAAGATAAGAGTGAAGGGGATGGTTAGTATCTGATAAAATAACACCTGTCAGGATTTTGCATGACTTTAGATGTCTATCCACAACCATATTAATTATGACCTCAAAAGATTCACCACACATCTTGCTAACTGCCTTCAGCACTCTCCGCAACACAGCAAAGTTTTTTCTCCAAAAGCCCGAGAAAAAATAATGGGGAACAGTAAAGAATAATAGGTAATGTGCAAGAATTGGCAAATTGTAAGAGTAAGTGACGAGTAATCCCAAGAGAATGCAATCTCTTTATGTAGTAAGTCAGACGGTAAACCTTCTTCGATAACAATAAAACGTGGGAAGACCAAGAGAGATGAGAGGAAAAGGTAACACCAAGAAAATTGATCTTCGACAATGTGTTTCTCAAAGAGTCTCCAATAGCACAAGCATTATGGAATCTCAAAATGGTGTTTAGATGCCGTTCATGTCATATGCTAAAGTTAACAACTTGACATTTATACGGATTAAGTATAAGACCATTACCAACAGAACAACAATCAATACGAGACAAAAACTCATCCATTTTTGTGGGATGTAAAAAGGAAGGGATAGGCATACATACAGTGAGATCATCCGCATATTTCACAAAAGTGGTTTCTGTGGAAGATGGCAGATCATGCACAAAAAGAAAGAAAAGAAGAGGTGAATGAACATCTCCTTGTGGTACACCTTCATGAGACAGTAGAGACTCTGAACACTTTCCTCCAAACACAGTGTACTGTTCCCTTCCAGAAAGGTAGGAACATAGCCAGTTGGTTATTCAGATGTCAGTGTTGACAGTGATTAACTTGTTAATTAGACGTTGTCTTGGTATAGAATCAAAAGCTGAAGTATAGTCTAGAAAAGCGCATCGAACATACTTCTTACCCTTTCCTAAGTTAAACGCTATATTGTGATGCAGAACAGCAATAGCATCTAAAGTGCTTCTTTTGCATCTGTAAACAAACTGATACGGATCAATATGCTCTTTTATCGCAGGCTGAAGTGGAAGTATCAATAATTTTCCCTGTGGATAAAGGGAGCATCACATCAAATGACTGACGTACAAAAGACTTATTTAAGTCACAAACATTCAGCTGGTTATCGCTCCTAATCTGTCTGTCACCTGTCAGTTTTTTAAAGAGTTTCCACATACTTGGAGAGTTTTGGCAAGATAAGAGTTTTTGAGTAAACATAGAGTTGAGACGTCTAATCTCTAGGTTTATCAGATCATTTAGCTTACGAACTTCATTAGAGTTTTTCTCTTTGTACATTCTTTCTTTCACACTCCATAGTCGTTTTAGTTGTGGAAATGTAAGTCGATCAAAACTTAAAAAAATGATTTCAGTGGGACAACAAATATCAACAGAATTTAAGGTAACAAGTGATAACATCAGTAGTGTTTCCCAGTGAGTCATAAATTCCATGTTGGTATCGGGATTAATAGCGATGAGGCTGCCTACCCGTTTGAAACGTAAGTGATTACAAGCTGACTCTAGGATGGAATAGAAAGGTATTGAGCCAATTTTTTCTAACAGACTAAATCTCGTACAAGATAGTTTAAACCAGTCGAAAAAAAGAATGTAGTTTGGGAATATGCAACTTAGTAGTTTAGAGTTAGATCCAGAGGGATGTGTCTTACGGAAAAAACAATATTAGCTAGAGCATTGCCAATGATCTATGAGGCTTACTGTGCGTCAGTAGTTAGTGTAAGCAAGCAAGGAATATCTGTGTTTCGAATACTTGAAATCTGACCATGTAATTGAAGGTAGCACAACACCAAAAATCAGTAACCATTTACTATTGAAGATTGATGATTGAAGTTGTAGTATAAGTCGAGTAAGCTGCCCAATCAGTTAGAATGTTAGCTTGCTCCCATGTAGCTTTTGTGTGCTATGTGAAACGGACAGATACAGTGGCAATAGCAAGTGTAGAATATACGAGCTAACTTCAATCAAGTTCGAGGAAATTGAAAAACGACGTTTTATGCAGAAGCTAGGATGGCTAGTTTTGACTAAGTGAATTAAACATCATAACTAGTTCCTGTCACATCAGATTTAGTACTCATTTAGGTGGGCGGACTGTAGTGTCGATTAGCTGAGATATAGAAGGCAAACTGTTGTGGTAAGTAGTATTACAGACCCAGGCTTTGAAAATATATTTTAGAGTGACTATAACGAAGGTGGTCGATTAGGCGTATGCGTGTACGTTCTACTCCTTTCATAGGTATGTATATCAAACTGTGCATCCAGTGTGCTTGTGTCTGCATGGTTGCTTGTTTTCATTGATCTTGGATCAGCCTTTGCAATGCAGTCTAATCCATCCAATGAGTCTATACTTGACAGTGAGGAAAATTTCAACTCAAGCTAAAGTTCGGTAGCAAACGCCGAAGTTTATTTTTCATTAATACTGTCAACGACTTAGACTATTTGGTTATGTTTCATTTTATTAGTGTGACCATCACTGCTCGTCATCGGGTATATATTGTTTCCAAACGATTAGCCTGGATACAAGTATTTTGGAAATAGCTTAAATGTTTTTGTATTTTGTTTTCAGATTATATCGTCCTACATTGTCTCTAATAAGTTGATATTTTATTCAGCTAGTTTTTGTTTTGGGATATGTGCATTGAGTTCTCGTCAATTTAGTTCTAGTGTGAACTACTTGCTTTGGGATTAGGGAAATCATAGTGCCCTAATTCTGTTATCCATCGTCATACACATCAATAGTTTTAAGTGCAGACTAGATAAAAGTCTTCCTGTATGTTTTTCTTCGAATTCAACCTATAGCGTTATCAGTGAAGTTACTTAGAAGGAGCCATTGGTCAGGACACTTTGAATACTGTTGTTTCAGTCAGTCAGCTACAACGTAGGACCAGGCACATATGTGCATCGGTCCAAGTTGCCATATCACATTAGCACAACAAGATGGACACCGAATTCATAAAAGTAGTTAATTCAGAGGTGGTAATATATAAAAGAAAGATTGCAATAAGGATATAGTACAGGAAGGAAGAATTAGTCCGTAGAAAGAAAGATATGAAGCGATTTTAATCTCTTAGGTTAAGGGAAGACAGTGAATGTATACACCTACGTCATTGTGATAGATTCTGAGCCATGTCACCCATAGTCTCTAACCATGGGTTACGATAGTCAAGTGGACCCCAACCAAGTAGTCTGCATCTCCCAACATGGCTCAGACTAGAAGTTACTGAATTCAAGCACTGATGCCATGTTTTGGTTTGGCCACCCCTAACTTTCTTCCAACCATCTCCAATACCGGATAGCATTGCACGTCTTGGTAAACGGTGTTCAGGCATACGTAATACGTGGTCCAACCATCTCAGTCGATGAATATTCACAACCTCTAACAGCACTCAAGTCCACTCTGCTGTTGTCTCAAATCATTTAAAACTATTCCATGCCGTGGCACTACTCTGACTAATCCCATGCAAGCTAAATAACAAATCCGAAGTGTAAACGGTTTATAAATACGAAAATTCATAGTGGTTCTGGTTGTTGAGTGCTTTAGTAACGGGTCTCAGGTAGTCAGCAGATATGATCAACTTGCATTTTACCAAAAAAAGAACCACGACCTGTCAGTCAAACTTCAAGCTCTCTCTCTTTCTGCAGGCCAATAATTTCTAAGATTACGATCCTTGGATGTTGTCTCATTTTAACATTATAACTGGTATTAGTGTGTAGTAATAACCCTAATTCTAATTTTTACTCTTAATTTATAACTCTAACATCTAGTCTGTATTCCTCATGCTAATTTATAACCATATTTTCACAGTAGTCAGTGGTTGAAATTCATCATACACATATCATTAAAGAAATGATCTTTCTATGTGATGAAAACTAATTTGAAGATTATTCAACACATATGTATTTACTGTGTTCTTTCTGACTTGTATGGTGATCGATCCGTTTATGACTGACTATCGGAATATGTATTGGAAAGTTATGGGAATTACTTAATAATATATCAGTTACAATTTACCTTATTCTGTTTTCGAAATGTAATTCAATTCATCAACTATTTTCTTTTATGAGAAAAATTTCTAAGGTCTTCTGGTTAATCTTATCGGTACTTTCAACATTCTATTAAATCTGTTACATGTAACGTCTAATCCACGAATATAATACTTTAATTTAGTCAAAGTACTATATCCACAAATTGAAGCTGCGGTTATAAGAGACTATAGATATGAGATGTTTGGAAGTGTATATTGTATCTAAACAAATTATCTTTTAATGATTCACTATAACTTCAATCAAATACTATTAACTCATTGTCATTCACAGATACCTTTATAGTTTTTTTTTTATTTCAACACAGATATTGGTACAAATAGGCACCAAATACATATGCGCCACACAAATCTCAGTCGATATATGTGAGGGCTGTGATACTGCCCGGGTACCCAAACCGAAGTAGGTGGTTTTCTTAGGGGGCCACTCCCCGAGCCTTCGACCTGAAGGTCTGATCCACAAGGCAGTGGAGCATCGTCAGGAGATGCAGTCCCATGGAAGCCGGTGACCAACAATTGGTTCATTTGTTCCCGCAGGATACTGGAGCCCATGTAAACCATTGGTTTGTAATCCGGTTAAAGCGTCGGACATTCGCTTTTCGTCTTCTCATTTTTGTAGACAGCACCCCCTCCACGAGAAGACAGTGAGTAGGACTTCCCTGGCAGAGGCTATAAACGCGTGGCCATGTGAGAACATTTCGAAAGGGAGAGCGGACTCTCCCCACTCTCGGCCGTAGCTGGGCATTTGCGGGCCTTATAGGTTAGGGTAATTTTATAATGTTTTTTAGGAGAACTAACCGGATATCATTCAAACTTTTACATGATAACTAAAAACAATAAAACTCAATCCTATTTCATAAGAGAGTCAGACACCCACCCCATCACCAACAACTACCTACTTTACTAGTACGAGTTCCACCCCACATTATTCTCATTGTGAAGAAAATAATAAAAAAAATTTATTTATTTCAATATAAGTTTTATTGAAAAGAAACTATTCACTACAAAAAAATGTACTTCATTAAAAAAATTAATAACAAACACTAACTAAACTAATATTGATTAAGATAAATAAATAAACAATAATAAATCAATAAATGATAATAAATAAATAAGGAAAATTTATGGATTATTTAAGATGATTTAATGTTAAAGCGGCATTTCTTTGACGATATTTATAAATGATTCCAATAACAATTACAATTAGTAAAATTCCAGTAGCAGCAGCAGCTATGGCGATGATAGTTCCGGTGTGATCTACTGGAACTAATGAGTAAATAATAATTAACAAAAAAGTATAATTAAAATCAGATTTATTTATATATTTAAACACATGAACATTAGTACAAGGAGGTACCGAATAGATATACGTCACATAAATCATTCGATTTGTATGAGGGCTGGAATACTGTCCAGGTGCTTCAACTGAAACAGGTGGTTTTCTTAAGGGGTCATACCCGGAACCTTCAACCTAAAGTTCTGATCCACAAGTCAATTGAGCAACGTCGGGAGATACAGTCCCATGGTATGCAGTGACCAATAATTGGTTCATATGTCATTTTTTCCTTCGGGATACTAGAGCTCATGTGCATCATTGGTTTGGAATTAGGGTTATCCAACTCCCCTAGATAAATCCTCCATCTCCAATAACCCGGTTAAAGCACCGGACATTCGTATTTTGTCCTCTCAGTTTCGTAGTTAACAGTAATGCCGCGAGAAAGCAGTGACTAGAAGTTCCGTGGGAGTGGTTGTTTACGCATGGTCATGTGAAAGCATTTCGAGAGAGAGAGAGGTGGCTCTCCTCACTCTCGGCTGTACCAGAGCATTTGGGGGAAGAACTAATCAGGTATAAGATAATAGGTCTTGGACTTTGGCGCGAAATTCATTCATCCATTTGGATAAATGGTGTTTTGGTATTATAACTGATGTCAGTTCATGATGAAAACCCTAAATCTCATTTCTAACCTTAAGCCCATCAATTGTCATTCATAATTCTAATTCCACAAACTGGTTTATAACCCTTATCTGGTCTTAGTTATTAGGTGAACACACGTAGAATTTTTTACAAAAAGAATACACCACTAACTGGTTCTTTATTCAGTTATTCAATACAAATCTATCATAGTAGTATGTTTTATAACCTAAACGTAACTTACACAATCTGTTATAGCAGTATTGGGTTGTGGCGATTATTATATTTTTTTGATTGAGACCATGAACCGACTGATTTTAGACCGCCATTGAAAACCTGTAAAAGTAATGGACTGCCGTTTTGTTCTGTTTTGGGATTTCTAAGCAGTGCTTATCCACGATTCCGCTCGTGAGGTTCGACTCATGATCTCGACCAACATATAATTATCTCCACAACCCCGTACTGATAATTACCGTGTGCTCACTAGTGACTAGCTTCGTGAGAGAATTCTCGGAGTTCTAGTTAGAAGTCGTGACCAATGGAGCTAGTCCGTGTCAAGTAGAGATAGCTATCTACCTCAGTATAATAGAAGATGGTCGCGCAATTTCGTGGATTAGTTGAGGTTAGACATTAACAGTGTGGGATACCGGCCGGCTTAGCGCGAGACCGAAGTCCTCGGGTTCGAATCTGGTGATCGGGATTGTGGATGCACAATGATGAGGATTCCCATACTAGAACGACACGGCCGTCCAGTGCTCCCAGATTTTTATTGGTGGTCTAACATCAATATTTGTATTGTAGTGAACGAGAACACTAGTTGGGACAATCAAATGTATTTTATTATCATACTATGAATATTTTATTTGCAAAATATCCATTAATTGTTTCAGATCTTGTTATTATTTCATTTCTATATCAATCACTCTCTGTTCGTTTTCTCTTCTCTTCTCAACCTTCTACCTTCAGTCATTTCACTTTCGGTTCATGACACATACTACTTATATCTATCAACATCAGTAGCATACATCACATTATATGTGTAAACAAACAAAACGAACGAATGAATAAGGATTAATTAATTCAGTGTCAATGTATCACTAATATTAGTAAAATGAACGCTCCTATTATCTTAAGGTATGTAGGTTTCTTTCTTTATATCATCTTAAGGTTTAAGTCTAATCAAAATATGTTTGAATCTTTCCATTGATATTTATATCTGTAATTGATCAGTCTCTCTTATTGGCATATGTGTATTCTGTGCTGATTGCGTCGATATTGATATTTAGTCAAAAAGATTATCAGCAAAGATAGTATATAATGAGTTAGATAAGAAGTGCACACACCTACGTTTACATAAAAATAGTCAAGGTTGATAAACGAATAATAAGGAAAATCAAGAATATAGCTTGAGAAGAATGAATAAATTGCTCTGTTCGAATGTTAGAATAAGTTATGTGGGCTTGACATGGTACCAGACACTGCAAGCTAATTAAATGAGCATTAATATAGATTAATTCATTGAGAAAAAGAGACTAACCTTTTTTCGTGCGTATCTTCTTCTTCTTCATTATTGCTATATGATAATTAAATAAAAGAGACAAGAAATGATCAATTAATCTCATAGGATTACCACCCTCTCAGTGAATGCAAATAAACACAAACCAACAATGAAAATATAAATCAATGTATTAGATGTGATACAAAGATTATGATTTAAGCAGGAAATTGTGTACAGTGTAACGTGTGTGTGTGTGTGTGTGTGGGTATGTATGATGTTAATCGTTATGGTTGTGTTGATTGTATTCTACCTGAATCTTGATATTATGAATGCGATCTGATCAAATCAGCATGGATATTAATTAATGAAGGTATGAAACGAAACTCACTTTTAGTTTTTAATACAATCGTTTCTATATTTTGATTAAAAATAGTGAGAAAAAGATTAATGAATAGATAAATGTGTTAGTTCAAAATGAGACAGAATAATGTATACCACAATCGTCGTAAACGTAGATGCTTTTTTGACATAATGGTTTAACTTACCTACCCTAATAACTCAATTGAGGTGGATTAGCTAGAATACGTGTCCCTTGATGTCCCATCATACCAGACAGGTAGATTGGAAAATGATAGGAGGAAAAGCAGAAACTCGAAAGTGAAGTCGTACTGTTGGCTGTATATAGCTGTGATGAATGAAAGGTATATTTTTCAGACAATCAACATCTAAAGCGATATTACTTTCTTTCAACGATATATATGTGATTTTTTCCACAGTCCTTTATTTATGTGGTTCTCCTAACTCTTTTTCTACCACTTTATCAACCATTCACTTAGTCAAATATCTTAATTGCTCTTTTAATTGATGCCCCGAACGACTTTAAGTTAGACAGCAAAAATCTCGGAGAGTTGGATGTCTGTTTCGTTCTTGCATAAGACTCCCCAGTAGTACGCACCTACAATACCACAACTGAGAATCAAACCTAGAGCAAATGATATCACGTACAAACTCTTAACCTATAAACCACTGAGCTGAAATCTGAGAGTCTTAAAGGCTAACGCTAATCAGTAGACTATATAACGAGATCATTCTCTATTGTTTTCGGTGGGTAACGTCATTGCATCATCTTGCTTTTGAGCTAGTCAGATATACTTAGTTTAAAAGAAAAAATAATTCCATGAAAATGTTTTACTAACTTTTAGTTTTCACATTAGATAACTTCAGTCCGGCTTTGTTGTCTGATTTCTCATTACCAGAATTAATAATATTTGTAAATGCTTCTGTAGTCAGTTCTTTTGCTTGAGGAGTTGGAATTTCTATATTCGCTGTTCCTTGAATACCTTGTTCTCTATTTTGATTTAAGGTCGCGTCTACCTGTCTTTTCAGACGATTTGAGGACTCAACTGGTGTGAATGTAACATTAGTACATTTTGCATCGTTTGACAATGATGGATTTCCGAGTTTCAAACTACTTAAAATCTGTGAATTTTATAAAAATGGATAACAAATTACTAATTAACGTTTTAATCAAAGAATCATTGGATTTTAGAAAATTATGAGTGATAACTATTCTTGTGCGTTGGTCATATGTGCCAATCAGTAATCATTACTCCTATGAATATATTATTTATTTAGTTAGTTGAACACATAAATATTGGTACAAGGGGGCACCAAATATATATGCGTCACACAACAACAATGAGAATGGAAAAACAAAAAAGGAAGGTAAGGAGCGTAAAAAAAGAACAATAACGAACAGATTAGTGTAAGGTAGTGTAATAATAATAATAATGGGGGAAACGGAAAGGCACAATCAGAAGAAATCTTTCGGTTCAGGAAGATACAACCACTTTTTTATGAAGAAAGTAAAAGAAGGTTACAGCAGGATCGCCACTGGCTTCTATTCTGAACCATATCTGATAACGCTTCTAGCCACTGTGTTGCACCATCTCTAGGACCCCAACCAGGGAGTCATGAAGGCCCAACAGATGTCAGTCCTGTGCAACTTTAGTTCATGACACGACACCATGTCATACAACGACCACCTCCTCTTTTTCCAACCAGTCCCAGAGTCGGCAAATAATGCACGACGTGGAATTCTCCGAGACGACGTTCGTAGAACATGTCCAAGACACCGAAGCCGATGCTTCAAGATGGTGACACCAATTGGATTATCGTCTCTGTGCCCGAACACACGATGCCCAACCTCTGCATTACTAACATGGTGTTGCCACTGGATGTCAGCAATCCTTCGGAGACAACGACGATCGAATACAGAGTCGTCTAACGTCTTCAACTCGGAGAGGCCAGGTTTCACAAGCATAGAGCAAAACTGCTCTCACCGACGCATTGTAGATCCGACATTTTACAGCCAGACTAACATCACGAAGGCGCCAAAGGTGGCCCAGATTGGCGTACGCCGCTCTGGCTTTCACTATACGTGCATTGATCTCATCACTCACACCCACACCAGCACTTATGCAGCTACCTAGATACACGAACTTCTCGACTACTTCTATCTGCTCACCATCCAGGGTGAGTACAGGATTGGAATCCTGCCAGTCTTGTAGAAGTACTTTGCACTTCGAAGGTGCAAAGCACATACCATACCTACGGACACTGATTGCAAACTGATTAAGTGAGGATTGCATGGCTTAGGCATTATTGATAAGTATGACGGTGTTCTAACATATGGCGGAGAGTGAAGATATGATCAGTACATCCTCGACGAGAACGAATATTATTATTAAATAATCAATCGTCAGTGAAATTCCCACACTTTCTCTCAATTCTAATCTTGATGATATCACTTCATAATTCACTAGACAAGTATGACTCTTTCAATTGATTATGGAATAAACTTATCACTGATGAAACCTTTTATTTGAAAAAATACAATTACTAATTTTAAGTAATGGATTGTGGAGATTGTTAAATTTTTGATTGAGATCATGAATCGATAATTGTTAGACCATCATTGAAAACCTGAACGCATTGTACGGTCATTTTGTATATAAATTCTCAACAGTGCTCATCCACAAACCTACATGCAGATTTCACAGAAAATTTTATAATTCTATATAAATTTATTCATTAAATACATACCATCTTTCCAAGTAAATCAATCAATGCCCAATAAGAATGATTAACAAGTTAAATGGAGAGTAAGTGATGACAACTGATTCATATGTCTACTATGAAGTCTAGAATTACATTCATATATCCTCTATATAATAAACTGTCTATTGAAAGCAAATTTACAAAAACAATATTATACTCACTGAATCACAAAATATAGCTGCCAGATTAATATAAGCTGGAGTGTTTGTATTAGTCAATTCAACTGACCAATATTGTGGTAATGCTTCATTCTCTATAGCCAATACTGACTTCACTTCAAATGTTGGTACTATAGAAATATATAGAAAATCAAATAGTCATAGTTTCTGTATTATTGCCAAATAAAAGTTAAATTATAATAGACATTTACAATCATTAGGAAATTATGTAATAGCGAAAATACATTTAGGAATTATGTGTATAATACAATAGCAACAATCAATATAACAGAAGTGACAAAAAAAGTATACTGGAAAAGACAAAGAAAAAAAAATACAAAAAATGAAAAGAAAAGAAAAAAAAGACTGTAAAAGATGAAAATATACAAAAAAAATAAAAGAAACTAAACAATAAACCAGTTTGATGGATTTGACAAGCATATTTAATAAATAAACAAGAGTAAAACATAAGAAATACATAAGAATTAAGATAGAAACAAAACAAGATTTCATAAAAAGCCAGATCGAGAGAAACAAAAAGAAAATCTGTGACAATGAGAACGTGAAGGAAAAAATATTAAAGCAAGAGTAAATAGAAATAATGAACGTGGAATATCTAAAATATAAACAGATACATAGATGTATGAAGTAAGACCCAAATCAAAGAACAAATGATAAACATCAGAATGTACGCATAAAATTGAATGTGTCAGGCAAATAAAGCATATAACAATAGGTATCGAAAAAAACAACAACTATCGATTAAACTTCGGAAAAAACAAATGAAATATAAGTAAAGAAAGAAAAGAAAAACAGCAACAAAAAAAATTGACACAAACAAATCATCGCATCCTCACCTTCAACAATAATATCCACAGCAATTTCGCGAACAGGATCAACTTCATTGATATCTACAACGTGATTGACTAAAAACCGTGAGTCAAGTGGTCAATGCACACATGAATATTCCACTCGACAATGAAAATAATCAAATGAGATTGACTTGTGCGTGTCGAGTGATAAATGAACGTTGTGTGATTGTGAAATTGTGAAGTGTGAATGTGCAGAGAGAGACAATGTGTGTCAGACAGTTTGTCAGGTGGAAACACAGACGGTGGACGAACAGACGAAGAGACAGAAAGAGAGTGAGGCGGATAGACAGGCAGACAGAGCGATATACAGAGAGACTGCATAACCGATCGACTGACGGACAAACTGACCGTCCGACCGACAGTGCAGCAATCGGCAAAATTGTGTGACGACCGACGTTGTTGTGAATGGAGAAGGTGACTGTGAGCGATGGTGATGTGAGAAGAGGGAATGTGGTGGATTCTTGTAGATCTAAATGTTAATATGTTTATATGTATATATCTATGTATATATTTATATATATATATGCATATATATGGCTATATGTTTAGTTGGAGAGGGAATGTGTTATATGTGGAGGGATGTGATTGAATTGATGATTGATTTGATAGTGAAATGTGTTTAATGTGTGATGTTTGATGGGTGTGTATGTGGAGAATAGAGGTGATATGAAGTGGTTGAGTGAGTAATTGTGTTAATAATTGAATAATCTAGTGAGCGAGTCAGTGAATGTGAGTGATTGTGTTTCGCAATGTGTGCGTGTGCACTTGTGTTGTGTGTGTATATATATATGTGTGTGTGAGTGATTGAGTGTGTGAGTGACTGGGTGAGTGAGTGTGTGAGTGAGTGAGTGAGTGAGTGAGTGAGAGTGTGTTCGAGTTATAGAGTGTTTGTGTTTAGTTGTACCGGACTGATGGTTCACACGTGTGTCAGATAGTCAAATCAATATCAGTATACATTGATGCAAATGATTTTTGTAATACTTACTATCATCTTCATATTCCTGTACTCCATCTTCATTGACGTCAGCTTCATTCTCGTCTACATGGTGATTGATTAAAAACCGTGAGTCAAGTGGTCAATGCACACATGAATATTCCACTCGACAATGAAAATAATCAAATGAGATTGACTTGTGCGTGTCGAGTGATCAAGGAATGTTGTGTGATTGTGAAATTGTGAAGTGTGAATGTGCAGAGAGAGACAATGTGTGTCAGACAGTTTGTCAGGTGGAAACACAGACGGTGGACGAACAGACGAAGAGACAGAAAGAGAGTGAGGCGGATAGACAGGCAGACAGAGCGATATACAGAGAGACTTAATGACTGACCGTCGGACCGACTGACCGACCGACCGACCGACCGACCGAGCAGTAATCGGCATTATTGTGTGACGACCGACGTTGTTGTGAATGGAGAAGGCGACTGTGAGCGATGGTGGTGTGAGAAGAGGGAATGTGGTGGATTCTTGTAGATCTAAATGTTAATATGTTTATATGTATATATCTATGTATATATTTATATATATATATGCATATATATGGCTATATATTTAGTTGGAGAGGGAATGTGTAATATGTGGAGGGATGTGATTGAATTGATGATTGATTTGATAGTGAAATGTGTTTAATGTGTGATGTTTGATGGGTGTGTATGTGGAGAATAGAGGTGATATGAAGTGGTTGAGTGAGTAATTGTGTTAATAATTGAATAATCTAGTGAGCGAGTCAGTGAATGTGAGTGATTGTGTTTCGCAATGTGTGCGTGTGCACTTGTGTTGTGTGTGTATATATATATGTGTGTGTGAGTGATTGAGTGTGTGAGTGACTGGTGAGTGAGTGTGTGAGTGAGTGAGTGAGTGAGTGAGTGAGTTAGTGAGTGAGTGAGTGAGTGAGTGAGAGTGTGTTCGAGTTATAGAGTGTTTGTGTTTAGTTGTACCGGACTGATGGTTCACACGTGTGTCAGATAGTCAAATCAATATCAGTATACATTGATGCAAATGATTTTTGTAATACTTACTATCATCTTCATATTCCTGTACTCCATCTTCATTGACGTCAGCTTCATTCTCGTCTACATGGTGATTGATTAAAAACCGTGAGTCAAGTGGTCAATGCACACATGAATATTCCACTCGACAATGAAAATAATCAAATGAGATTGACTTGTGCGTGTCGAGTGATCAAGGAATGTTGTGTGATTGTGAAATTGTGAAGTGTGAATGTGCAGAGAGAGACAATGTGTGTCAGACAGTTTGTCAGGTGGAAACACAGACGGTGGACGAACAGACGAAGAGACAGAAAGAGAGTGAGGCGGATAGACAGGCAGACAGAGCGATATACAGAGAGACTTAATGACTGACCGTCGGACCGACTGACCGACCGACCGACCGACCGACCGACCGAGCAGTAATCGGCATTATTGTGTGACGACCGACGTTGTTGTGAATGGAGAAGGCGACTGTGAGCGATGGTGGTGTGAGAAGAGGGAATGTGGTGGATTCTTGTAGATCTAAATGTTAATATGTTTATATGTATATATCTATGTATATATTTATATATATATATGCATATATATGGCTATATATTTAGTTGGAGAGGGAATGTGTAATATGTGGAGGGATGTGATTGAATTGATGATTGATTTGATAGTGAAATGTGTTTAATGTGTGATGTTTGATGGGTGTGTATGTGGAGAATAGAGGTGATATGAAGTGGTTGAGTGAGTAATTGTGTTAATAATTGAATAATCTAGTGAGCGAGTCAGTGAATGTGAGTGATTGTGTTTCGCAATGTGTGCGTGTGCACTTGTGTTGTGTGTGTATATATATATGTGTGTGTGAGTGATTGAGTGTGTGAGTGACTGGGTGAGTGAGTGTGTGAGTGAGTGAGTGAGTGAGTGAGTGAGTTAGTGAGTGAGTGAGTGAGTGAGTGAGAGTGTGTTCGAGTTATAGAGTGTTTGTGTTTAGTTGTACCGGACTGATGGTTCACACGTGTGTCAGATAGTCAAAACAATATCAGTATACATTGATGCAAGTGATTTATGTGATACTTACTATCATCTTCATATTCCTGTACTCCATCTTCATTGACGTCAGCTACATTCTCGTCTACATGGTGATTGATTAAAAACCGTGAGTCAAGTGGTCAATGCACACATGAATATTCCACTCGACAATGAAAATAATCAAATGAGATTGACTTGTGCGTGTCGAGTGATCAAGGAATGTTGTGTGATTGTGAAATTGTGAAGTGTGAATGTGCAGAGAGAGACAATGTGTGTCAGACAGTTTGTCAGGTGGAAACACAGACGGTGGACGAACAGACGAAGAGACAGAAAGAGAGTGAGGCGGATAGACAGGCAGACAGAGCGATATACAGAGAGACTTAATGACTGACCGTCGGACCGACTGACCGACCGACCGACCGACCGACCGACCGACCGACCGACCGAGCAGTAATCGGCATTATTGTGTGACGACCGACGTTGTTGTGAATGGAGAAGGCGACTGTGAGCGATGGTGGTGTGAGAAGAGGGAATGTGGTGGATTCTTGTAGATCTAAATGTTAATATGTTTATATGTATATATCTATGTATATAATTATATATATATATGCATATATATGGCTATATATTTAGTTGGAGAGGGAATGTGTAATATGTGGAGGGGTGTGATTGAATTGATGATTGATTTGATAGTGAAATGTGTTTAATGTGTGATGTTTGATGGGTGTGTATGTGGAGAATAGAGGTGATATGAAGTGGTTGAGTGAGTAATTGTGTTAATAATTGAGTAATCTATTGAGCGAGTCAGTGAATGTGAGTGATTGTGTTTCGCAATGTGTGCGTGTGCACTTGTGTTGTGTGTGTATATATATGTGTGTGTGAGTGATTGAGTGAGTGTGTTAGAGTGTGGGTGAGTGATTGTCTGAGTGAGTTAGAGTGTGAGTAGTTGGGTGAGTGAATGAGTGAGTGAGTGAGTGAGTGGGTGAGTGAGAGTGTGTTGGTTTGTAAGCAGCTGACGAGAAACCTCGAAATAATATGAATTCTTGCTATTCTGCATCAATATTTGTTATTGCTTTGTTTGTGTTTAGTTGTACCGGACTGGTGGTTCACACGTGTGTCAGATAGTCAAAACAATATGAGTATACTTAATTACTTACTTACGCGTTTTACTCCTCGTGAAGGAGCATAGGCCACTCACCAGCATTCTCCATCCAACCCTGTCCTGGGCAATCCTTTCTAGCTCCGTCCAGTTGTAA